ATTTAAACCCAAGTGGGGGCTTGAATTTTTTGAATTTCTGATTATCCAATACAAATTTTAGAATTTAAAAAAAATGTCCGATTTGAAAAAAAAATTTGAAAAAATCAAAATCGTTTCAACTCGATTTTTGCACTAAATTTTCAGAACTTTTTAAAGTTTTAGAATTAAAAAAAAACGGAATTCAAATGTTACACAAGTTTTCCATAAGTACAAAATATGAATTGAGATATTTAAAGAATAGGGCAAAGTTAGGACAAGGTTAGGGCAGAATATGTGAAAGATCATAAGACAATTAGGGGGTAATTAGGAAGTGTTAATTGGGCTCCGAGAAAAAAACCTTTGGGGACAATTTTTGGTATGAAAAATGACAAAAAAAACGGCTTAAAAATCCCCAGATTCCACAAATTATCTGCGTCTCCTCCTGTCCACCACTGGCACCCGTCGTCTCTGATTTCCACGTCCGACCCATCGCATCGGCGGCGATTCTGGAGACTCCAACGCCCTCAAATTCGCCTCTTCCACTTCAAACTTTTGGCGCCAAATCGATTTGATGTGAAGGGTATCGCTGACGAATGCAGAGGACAACCATCCGGCGGTCAAGCAGCCCTGAAATTCATATTTTGGGACTCTTGGACTGGAAATAGTTCCTGAAAATGCTGACTAATGAAACTTTCCGGGGTGAAAAATCACCAAAAATCCATTTTCAGCACTAAACATGGCTGAAAATCACTTCCTTACACAGTAAATGAGGACGTATTTGATTGCGGACAACTCTTGAATCAGCATACAGTTTCCGAGCATCGTTCTGCTGGCATTGGATGGATTCCAGACACTCCAATGATATAGTGACCTGAAAAAAAAAGCCGGAATGTCCAGAAAATCAGGAAAAGTTCTAGATTTGACATCGAGACTAATACATTTCGCAGAAAAATTGAAAGTTCTAGCACAATTTTGAGGTTAGAGACATAGACAACGAGACACTATGCGTCTCTAGCCTCCCAAACTTTAAATCTTTATATCTCGGGTTCTAGATGAGCTAGACGTTGGGTTTTTTTAGAAATCTTTAAATACTGAAATTTCCATCAAAACTCTACATTTTGCAAAAAGAATGAGCTTTCTAGCTCAACTGGGTGCCGAGATACAGCGCTTTGAAGATTCAATGCCTGCGTCTCTCTTACAGCTGCGCGAGAGACGCATGGTGTCTCGTCGTTTGGCGTCTCTCGCCTTTTAAACTTCAAATGTCCCATATCTCGGCTCTCAGACAAGCTACAAAGCTCAAACTTTCACATAAATACATGATTTTCGAAAGATATTCTTAAACTAAATAGTTTTTCGAAAATCTAAAGTTTTGAAAAACAGATATCTTGGATTTCATCAAAATTGTACTTTGGGCATGTACTTTGTTAAAATAACAAATTCGTTGATTTCTGTGAGCAGAGATACAGCGCTTTGAAGTTTCGAAGGCTAGAGACGCAGACAACCAGACACTCTGATTGTCTGCGTCTCTCAAAACTTCAAATGCCTTCATCTCGGCTTCTAGAGAAGCTAGAAAATTGATTTTCGGACCAGTTTGTAGGGAATTTAACGTTTTTTTTCTGAAAATTGAATACTTTAGAAATTGAACTTCATATAGTTGGGGAAAATTCCAAATAAAATCAAAACTTCAAAACTCAAAAAACCAATTTAAAACCAGACTGAACTTCCTTCAATTATGTTGAAGATACTTCTTTCTAGCTCGTTTGAGAGCCGAGATACAGCGCTTTGAAGTTTTGAAGGCTAGAGACGCAGACAACGAGAAACTCTAACTGTCTGCGTCTCTCAAAACTTTAAATGGCTTTATCTCGGGTTCTAGACAAGCTAGAAGAATGATTCTTGGTGGGATTTGTAGGAAATTTCGAATGGTATTTTTTAAAAATAGTTTGAAAACTACTTTTTTGATCTTCCAATCTCTAGCTCGTATGGGAACCTAGAATTGGCCCACATTGTGTGCCAAAAACTGCTATTTTCGGATTATTTTTGGCATAAAAAATCTCGATAAACTTGATTTTTTGCTGATAAATAGCTCTGAAATTCCAAAAAAAAAAAAAAAAGACGAACTTGTTGTACAAAGTGTCGCGTAGACGAATGGAATCCATTTTTGTCTCGATTCGCTGGCCATATTATTCAACATCGTTCGACAAAGAAAACCGCCAATGAATTGAACGAGTCCGGCAATGGGAAGTTCCACAGTCTCTTGATAGAGACACTTTTGAGAGTGGACCTGAAAAAAAATGATTTTTAAAAATTAGTTTTTTTTAGAGTTGTAAATTTGAAAATTCAACTTTTAAAAAACTTTTTTTGGATGTTTTCTGAATTTTTGAAATTCTAGCTTTTGGTTTTTTTTGGACACTTTTGAAAAACTTATATCTGTGAATTAAAAAAAATGGATACCGTAAAACCTGTATTAGAAGAGCCCCTGTAATAAAAGGGCCCTCCTAGCGGGGCTTGGAAAAATAGAAGGGTCCCCTGTAATAGAAGGGCCCCCATTCAAAGTGTGTTCCGAAATCAGAAAATTTCCGTACTGTTTCAGTGAAAAATATTCCTGGAACCCCACAATTTAATAGAAATTTGTTGAAACTCTATTTTTCGATAAAAATCTTGCTAAATTTTGGTGAAATTGACAGATTTTCATGAATTTTAGAATTAAAGAAAAAAAACTGGTCGGAAAAATAGAAGGGCCCTCCTGAGGTACCTTGGAACAATAGAGGGTCGGCCCTTCTAATACATGTTTTACGGTATTTCGAATTTTTGGATTTTGTGGATCATTTCGATTTTCTGAACTTTTTGAAACCAATGAAATTTTCATATTTTCAGATTTCATAGCTGTTGGTTATTTTTGATGTTTAAGAATTTTGAACATTTTGAAAATTCAAATCGACTAAATTCAAAGAACCTAAGAAATCCAAAAAACCTGAAAATCTTAAAAAAAACATTTTCATTTTTTAGGATTGCTAAGTTTTTTGAATTCTTTGAACTTTTTGAAAATTAGAATTCGAAATTTTGAAAATCGTGGGAATCTTCAAATATTGAAAAAAATCCGAAATGTCTGAAATATCTAAAAAAAGATCCACAAAATCTCAAAATCGTAAAAATCGAAAAACTAAAAATCCTGAAACCCTTCTATTTTTCCAAGGTACCTCCGGAGGGCCCTTCTATTACGGGGCCCTTCTATTTTTCCCAGCCTCTCTCGGAAGGCCCTTCTAATACAGGTTTTACGGTAATTTAAAAAATTCGAAAATTTTGAAAAGTCTAAAAAACAAAATTCTGAAAATCCTAAAAATATATTTAAATAAAAATTCTGAAAAATTCCAAGATTTAGAAAGCTCTGAATGACCTAAAAAATCAATATCATTTCAGATCATTTTTTAAAGATTTCTGACCTATTTCTAAGCTAATTTCATCGCTTTCCATCTCAAAAATTTTCAAAATTCTCTCACTTACCGCCAATCCCGTCCATTGGTAAACACTCAACCACACCAGATCCGCATAAATCACAGCGAACAGCGCGCCTGAATAGTGTAAAAGTCCCAAATGGACCACATCGGATTTCACAAGCTTCTCCTTAATACATTCTTCCAGAATGATACACGAATTGTCTGCACCGCCCTGACTGGTCACTTGAACGAGACGTTGATGGATCAGAATTGCGATGAACATTGCCACGTGGCCGTAGTATTTACAGACGGCAGCTGAAAATGGGAAAAATTTTAAAAATTCAGAAAATTTAGAAAATTCAGAAATTCAGAAATTCAGAAATGCAGAAAGCCTGAAATTCTTAAATTCTGAAAATTCTGAAATTCAGAAATTCAGGAAATTCTGAAAACTCTGAAATTCAGAAAAACGGAATATCTGAATTTCTGAAATTTTGAAATTCTGAAATTTTGGAATTCTGAAATTCTGAAAAATTCTGAAAATCAGAAATTCTTAGATTTTTTAAATTTTCAGATTTTTCGAGTTTTTGGAATTTCTGATATTTAAAAAGATTTTAAGATCATTCGGATTTTTGGATTTTCAGGTATTTTTGGATATTTTGGATTTTCAGAATTTTTGAAATTCTGAAAATTCTGAAAACTCTGAAATTCAGAAAAACGGAAATTCTGAAACCCTGAAATTCGTAAAATTCTGAAATTTTGAAATTCTGAAAATCAGAAAATTTATTTCGAAAAAATTTTCAGCTAGAAACGCTGAAAACAACAGGAAAACGACTGAAAATCCAGGTTCAAAATGTTGTAAGCGCGCTCCATTGAGAATTCTCTCGTGTAGTCCACTCGGACAATCATTTTTGACAGCTTGAATTTTGTCAAAAATTGATAAAAATTCCAGAGAATTATTCGATTTCAGCAGATTTCCCACCAATTTCAGCCAATTTCAGCCGAATCCCTTACCTTCTTGATAGACACAGCAGCACATGACCATCACGCTGATGAACTCGTTGACTTTCATTTTTCGATTCTCGTCAGTCATCGTGAAATCCATTACCTGGAAAGATAATCGATTCTTGTGGCTTAAAAATCGATATTTCCAAGGATTTTAAGCCAAAAATCGATAATTCGTACCCGTCGCATCCGTTGCCGATACTGAACGCCATCACGGTGTAGGTCAAACACGTGTGTGCCGGTAGAAGCCATTCTTGTTTCAGAAATTCCGTGATTTCTTCCATTTTTTTGACTGAAACAAGAAAAATCTAAAATTTAGAGTGAAAATCGGCCAAAAATGACCGGAAAATGATGAAAAATGGCCGGAAAAATTTCGATTTGCCACGAAGAGTGCATTTTTTGGCGGAAATTTCGGTAGATCAAAAATTGGGTTGATCAACAATTGTTTGTTTCGAAATTTGAAAATTAAAAAATTTAGATGTTCTGAAATTCTGAAATTCAAAAACATCCAAAAATCTAAAAATCTATAAACCCTAAACAATTCCAAATGTTCCAAAAAATTTTTTCAGGAAATTCCAAATTTGAAAATTCAGAAATTACTAAGAAAATCTGAAAATTTTGAAAATTCTAAAAATTCTGAAAATTCTAAAAATCCTAAAAATCCTGAAAATTCTGAAATTCTCAAAATTCTAAAAATTCTGAAATTCTGAAATTCTGAAATTCTGAAACTCTAAAAATTCTGAAATTCTGAAAATCCTGAAAATTCTGAAATTCTGATATTCAGAAACTCAAAAAGTCAAATTTTGAAAAATTCAAAATCTAGAGATTCAAAACTTCTGGAATTCGGAAATTCTGAAATTCTGAAATTCTGAGATTCTGAGATTATGAGATGCTGGAATTCTAAAATTCTGAAATTCTAAAAAATCTAAAAATTTCGAGAATCCAAAAATTCTAAAAATTCTAAAAAACCTAAAAACCCTAAAATCCTAAAATTCAAAAAATTCAAATTTTCCAAATTTTCCTAGAAATCCGAAAATCTCAAGATCCTTCGAGATCCCAGATATTTTTTTCCTTATTTTTTTTTGGAAATCTAGAAAATCGAAATTTTTGAAATTTTCGATTTTTTTTGGTAATTTGAAAATTCAGAAATTCCGCATTTCCTTAAGATTTTCAGATTTCAAGATTCTTCCAGAACTTTCAAAAACAAAAAACATCAAAGTTCATGAAAATCAACAAAACTGGAAATAAAAATCATAAAAAAATTGTTCCGAAGAAACTACGAAAATCTTTTTACAACCTCTCCCCCCGATAACGTTTTCGTATATAAAACAACGAAAAGCAAAACGGAACATTTGCAGAAAACGCAAAAATATGAGCAACTTTTTGATTTTTTCCATTTTTCTTACTGTATTTCTGGTTACTGTAGTTGATGGAACTATTACTTTTGATGATGACGATTCCAGTGGTGGATGTGATGATGATAATGGCGATGATGGTGGATTGATTCTTGGTGGAGGTGGAGGAGGTACAGTAATCCTTTTTTGGAATATCTGGTGTTTTCGAATTTTTTGGCTTCTCATGTTTTTTAAAAGACCAGCTTGATTGCCGCGCCTCTGGCGCTTCAAACAGCCGGCTGGTGCGCCTGCGGCGCGAAACCAAGGAACGTCTCCAGAAGGCTTCAAAATCGAAGTTTCGAAAAACGAAAAGTTAGGGAATCATCGCGCTGATATTTTGAATTATCTGTGAAAACTTGAGAAATTTTGGTCTACTGGTGTCTTCGCTAGGGCCGGTGACAGGGAACAAGCGGACACACACACACACACACACAGAATTTGGTGATTATTAATAGTAAAGATTTTTTGGATATATATATGGATTTTCAGAATTGAAAAAAAAAACATTTTCTTATTTTTTCTCTGGAATATTTCAGTACCTAAATGTCTGAATTTCTGGTTTTTGAATTTTTAGAATTTTATCAAATTTTCAGACTTCTCATCTTTCTGGAAATTCCGGATTTTCATGATTTTCAAGATTAAAATTTTGGAACTTCAGAGTATTAGATCTTTCATATTTTGAAGATTTTTAGAATATCAAAACTTTCAAATTTTAAAAATTTTCAACTTTTGTGTTTCAATTTTGAAATTTTTGAAACTTTTCTGAAAATACTCTGAATTCCCAACAAATTCGTCTAAAAATCACGTTTCTAGCTCTTCTAGATACAGACATTAGAAATTTAGGAGAGACGCAGAAACATAGACCGTCTCGTTGTCTGCGTCTCTGGCTTCCAAAATTTTAGATGTCTTGCCTCGAGAAAAATCTACATGTTGGTTATCTAGAAGTCGAGATACAGCGCTTTGAAGTTTCACAGGTTAGAGACGCAGACAACGAGACACTCCAACTGTCTACATCTCTCCTGAACTGACACATTCCTGTTCAATTTTCATCCTTCTAGCTCATCTAGGAGCCGATGTACAGCGCTTTGAAGTTTTGAAGAGACACGGAGAAGCGAGAGCTCCCTGAAGAGACGCAGACGACGAGACACTCTGCGTCTCTCACCTTCTAAACTTCTAAGCGATGTATCCCAGCTCCTAGAGCAGCTAGAAATCTGACTTTTGTGTTGAAATCATCCTGCTTTTTTATAGGATACGATTCCTGTGAAGGTGGAGATGAGCAACAAATCATTTTGATCGGACAGGCCCTCGGAGGTGGTGGTGGAGGTGGTCATAGAGGTCATCACAGAGGACATCGACATGGTGGAGGACATCGTCATAGAGGCGGGCGTGGTGGAGATTTTGTAATTGGTGCCTCGCGAGGATGATAAAAATCGATTTATTTGATTATATAAATACATTTTTCTTGGGGGAAACAATAGTTAATTGGCACAATTATCTCCCTTGATAGAATCCATGGAAACCCAATGGAATTCTCTCTTCTGGAATTTCAAATCTCGCGGTTTCCTTCAACGTTTTGGCGTCCAGAATCAACACGAATGGTGGTTGTGTTACACTGATCGTCATAATTGGGACAATTAGGATTCCTGAGAAACAAGTTTCTATATTTTTAATTCGTTCAGAAAATACTGTAAATTCTCTACAAAATAGTTCAAAAATCACATTTCTAGACCATCTGGGAGCTGAGATATGAGCTTATAAAGTTTTGAAAAGACGCAGACAGCTAGAGTGTCTCGTAGTCTGCGTCTCTCTTCTCTTTAATTTCAAATGGATGTAACTCGGGTTCTAGATGAGCTAGAAGAGTGATTTTTGAACCAGTTTTCATCATTTTTTGCGTTTTTTTTTAAGAATCTTAAAAATTCTGACTTTTTGAGAAGTTAATTTTTTCAAATTTAATTTTGTTCTATAGAAATGTTGAAAGAGTATGAAAAATCCTCCAAACTGGTCTAAAAACCATGATTCTAGCTTTCCTAGGAGCCAAACTACACCGTTTTAAAGTTTCGAAGAGACGCAGACAGTTAAAGTGTCTTGTTGTCTGCGTCTCTAGCCTCCTGATCTTTAAAGGCGCATATCTCGCGAACCGTTTGGGCTATCAAAACGCTATTAACTACAAAAATGTGTAGAATTTAATTTTACACATTTACGTAGTTAACAATTTCTCTCTAGCTTTTCTAGTTTTTCAGAAAATCCCAATTTCTTACCATCATCCTCTTCCACGCCCTCTGGATTGGGCACAAAAATGGGCTCGCCACAGATTTGGTGCTCATTCTCTCGGTTCCAAATCAAATGATTTCCGGTTTTCAAATCAGCCTTGATTACCTGAAAATAGATAATTAGTCGTTTAATTGCCCTGGTAATTACCCACCCCAGCCGGATTCTCGTTGACTTTTCCGAAAACGGTGGAGCCAAAAACGTATTTGTCTCCTTCATGTTGATTTTCTCCCAGTGATAACGAGGGAATTCCATGGCTGAAAAAAAAAGTTGGTGGCCTAGGATTCCAAATTTTCTAGGCCATCACTTACAAACGTCGCAGGTCCGTTTCTCGGTCAGTTTTATGGATCCATCATCCTCGAGAATTGCTGAGTAGCCGGTTTCCCAATCCAAAGATTCTAGGATATCCTGTCCCGGGATTACTGTAGATGGAATTGATAGAGGAATGATCACACGGGTGAGGTATGGAAGGAAGGTGAGATCCTGAAAGTTTTTATTTTCGAATATTCGAATTTTCGGTTTTTCGGTAGATTTCAAGCATTTTTTGAATTTCCAAAACTTTGAAAAATTCGAAAATTTTAAAGTTTTTAGGGATTTAAAGGACATTCAAATTTTTTGATTTTTAAATTCTTTGAATTTTTCGGATTTTCAGAATATTTTGAATATTTTGGATTTTCAGGATTTTCAGATTGTTTCTGAATTTCTGAATTTCTGAATTTCTGAATTTCTGAATTTCTGAAATCCTGAATTTCTGAATTTCTGAATTTCTGAATTTCTGAATTTCTGAATTTCTGAAATCCTGAAATTCTGAATTTCTGAATTTCTGAATTTCTGAAATCCTGAAATTCTGAAATCGTGAATTTATGAATTTCTGTATTTCTGAATTTCTGAATTTCCGAAATTCTGAATTTCTGAATTTCTGAAATCGTGAAATTCTGAATTTCTGGATTTCTGAATTTCTGAATTTCTGAATTTCTGAATTTCTGAATTTCTGAATTTCTGAATTTCTGAATTTCTGAATTTCTGAATTTCTGAATTTCTTAATTTCTGAATTTCTGATTTTCTGAATTTCTGAATTTCTGAATTTCTGAATTTCTGAATTTCTTAATTTCTGAATTTCTGAATTTCTGAATTTCTGAATTCCTGAATTTCTGAATTCCCGAATTTCTGAATTTCTGAATTTCTGAATTTCTGAAATCCTGAAATTCTGAAATCGTGAAATTCTGAATTTCTGGATTTCTGAATTTCTGAATTTCTGAATTTCTGAATTTCTGAAATCCTGAAATTCTGAAATCGTAAAATTCTGAATTTCTGGATTTCTGAATTTCTGAATTTCTGAATTTCTGAATTTCTGAATTTCTGAATTTCTGAATTTCTGAATTTATGAATTTATGAATTTATGAATTTATGAAATTGTGAATTTACGAATTTCCGAATTTCTGAATTTCTAAAAATCCTCAAATCGGGAATTTTAGATGTATTTTTCAAAAACTCACATTCTGAAACTCTCCATTCCTCATATTATCGATATCCAAAGTCCTGAAATTTCCGGCATTCTCAATTCTACAGTAATCCACAACCAAGCATCCATTTTTCTCAAAAGTGTTCGCATGGTGGAATGTGAAAAATGGGTCCATTTTCAGCTTCAAATCCAATTTTTCACCAGTTTTCTTGTTCAAGATGAACACTTTGACATCCTGATTATTCTTCCATTCCAAACAATCACGATAAGTCGCATTGATAAAATTTCTCAGAATGAATTTTTGAAGGTTCACTCTCACAGGCGACTCAAACATGATCAAATAGTTCTCAGACATTCCGAAAGAGTGCATATACGTCGGGTACAATGGATCCGACGCGGGGATCTCTCCAATTTTCTCCGTGTGCTCCCAAGAGTGATTACTCTCCGATTGCTCATTTTTCGGGTTCCGGGTTACTGTAAAAACGTGCGCCGAGTCGGGTCCGAAACGAGATCCAATGTTGTACACGTCCCCGTTCTCGTCGTAGAGTTGATGGGCGGTACAGGAATGAAGGGCGACGTATTTGGAGAAGTCGGCCTGGAAAATGAGAAATATCAGAAAAATCATATAAAATACAAAACGAATGACGTTTTTAGCTCATCTAGGAGCCGAGAAATAGCTCTTTGAATTTTAGAAGGTGAGAGACGCAGTGTGTCTCGTCGTCTGCGTCTCCGGAGTGTCTGACTGTCTGCGTCTCTTCAAAACTTCAAAACGCTGTATCTCGACTCCTAGATCGCCGTCTGCGTCTCTAGCCTTTCTAAACTTCAAGTGACCATATCTCAGCTACCAGATGAGCTAGAAAAATGAAATTTTGACAGAAATGTGTCAAATTTAGATTTTAATGTCTCTATGTATCTCGAAAACTGTAAAAGCACAAAATTTAAAAAAAATCTGAATTTTTTTCTGAAAATCACTGTTTAACCCACTATTATAGTCTTAAATCACTTTTCAAGCCGGGATTTTCGATTTTGATTTTTTGCTTTTTTTTTAATTCTTAAATTCTTGGAATCTCTCGAAATTTCCACTTTTAATTTTTTGGATTTTTTGCATTGAATTTCATTTCAAAGAAGACTTGAAATTTCCTACAAATTCGTCTAAAAATCATTTTTCTAGCTCTTTTAGGACCCGAGATATAGCGCTTTGAAGTTTTGAAGAGACGCAGACAGTTAGAGTGTCTCGCCGTCTGCGTCTCTAGCCTTCCTAAACTTCAAGTGACCATATCTCAGCTATCAGATGAGCTAGAAAGTTGAAAATTTTCGAGAAAGTTGTAAAATTTTATTTTACACATTTCAAGATGTGATTTTTTTTGAATATTCTGATCGGCAAGTGAAATACGCGCCTTTAAAGCTTGTAAACTTTAAAGATGTATCTCTCGAGAACCATTAACGCTATGAAAAAATTTCCAACTAGAAAAATGTCGATAATCGAATTTCCAGCATGTCCATATAAATTTCTCACCTCTCCCAACGCCTTCAACGTATCCAAATCGATTCTATACATGTATGGCGTCTCGGTGCACGCATACAGCCCATCTCCAACTGGTGTGAACGCCACATTTGCATTGTCATGTTTCTCCGGTGCTTCGTGCATAAAAGTAGAGAAATATTTCGAGAAAAGCGTTTTGCATGGGTCCGGGAATGTAGCAGTTCCGAAGGAGCCGGCTACGATACGCTGGGCTTGCATGTTTTGGGCGTACGCTTCCGATTCCAGATAGCGAGCCGAGTAGAACATCTGAAAGAAAAAAAATATTATTTTTTTGAGTTTAGTTTTAGATGAGAAAAAAACTATATGAAAAATCTTGCAGAATTCGAAAAGAACCAAGTTTCTAGCGCTTCTGGGAGCCGAGATATGGGCATTTGAAGTCTAGGAGAGACGCAGACAGTTAGAGTGTCTTGCCGTCTGCGTCTCCAGCTTTCCCAAACTTCAAATGCCCATAACTCGGCTTCCAAAGGACCTAGAAAAATGGTTTTTTGATTATAATAAAGGAATTTTTATCTATTCCATGATTATTGAAAAATTCAAGAAATTTTGTTTCAAAAAATTTGAAATTCTAAAACTTTTGAACTTTAACTGGATTCACTACATTTCCCAGCTGAAGGAGAACCTATTACAGAAAAAAATCGCGTTTCTAGCTCTTCTAGAAGCCGAGATATAGCGATTCAAAGTTTTAGGAGAGACGCAGACAGTTAGAGTGTCTCGTTGTCTGCGTCTCTAACTTCCCTAAACTTCAAAGCGCTGTATCTCGGCTCCCAGACGACCTAGAAAGTTGGTTTTTAACTAAAATGAAGGCATGTTTTCTATTACACAATCATTTAAAAATAAATAAAAAATTTTTAAAAAGAAAATTTTTCAAAAAACTTTAGTTTTTACCATCAAATTAAATTGACTATATTTCCAAAGCCTATCACGAGCAAAATCACATTTCTAGCTCTTCTAGGAGCCGAGATACAGTGATTTGAAGTTTTAGGAGAGACTCAGACAGTTAGAGTGTCTTGTTGTCTGCGTCTCTAGCCTCCAAAATTACAAACCACTGCATCTCGACTCCCAGACGACCTAGAAAAATGGTTTTTTGACTGTTATAAAGGAAGTTTTGTCTATTTCATGATTATTGAAAGATTCAAGAAATTTTGTTCCAAAAATTTTGAAATTCTAAAACTTTTAAACTTTAACTGGTTTCACTACATGTCCCAGCTGAAGAAGAACCTATTACAGGAAAAATCGCGTTTCTAGCTCTTCTAGACCGAGATACATTCATTTGAAGATTAGGAAAGACGCAGACAGTTAGAGTATCTTGACGTCTGCGTCTCTAGCCATCCTAAACTTCAAATGCCCATATCTCGGCTCAAAATTGCGCTAGAACGCTCAAAATTCCTGCAAAACATCTTTCAAAAAATGACAAACCTTTCCATTCTCAAAATGGTATCTCTGCATAAAACCGAGACCGTCAAACCAGTGTTGATACTTGTCCTCTCCGATTTCAAACATTCCAGGTCCATTTCGAAGCATGGTCCCTTTCAAATAACTTGGCACCGTGCCAATTTTTCGACACTCTTTTGGTTCCACAACATTCTCGAAATTGTGGAAAAGACGAGAGAATCCTGAGGCTTCCATGACTGAAAATGGAAAGTTTTCAGAAAAAAATTATTTTTCAAAAAAAAATCTACAATCTTCTACCTATCCTATCTGCCTATTTATACCCTTTCACCACAAACATAGAGATAAGATAGTTAGAGACGCAGACAGTTAGACAAACACTGGACACGATGTGTCCAAACGCTGGACACGATGTGTCCAGTGGTTAGAGATAAGAGGTGCTAGAGAAAAAGAGAAAAAAGGGAAATGTGAACCGTACAGCAGAATGGAGTTTGTGATGTACCCTTCAGAAATTCAGAAATTCAGAAATTCAGAAATTCAGAAATTCAGAAATTCAGAAATTCAGAAATTCAGAAATTCAGAAATTCAGAAATTCAGAAATTCAGAAATTCAGAAATTCAGAAATTCAGAATTTTAAGAAATTCAGAAATTCAGAAATTTAGAAATTCAGAAATTCAGAAATTCAGAAATTCAAAAACTTGAAAATTTAGATCACAAAAAATTTATTGATATTTTCTATACAGAATTAGAGGAATCAGTATTTTCAGAGTTTTCAGAAGTTTCAGAATTTTCAGTTTCTTTTCCAGGTTCTCCATCTGGAAGTTCCATGCCGATTTCCTGTTTTTCCGGGGACAATTCGTCGAAAATTCGAGAAAACGATGGATGCGATTTTTGGACCATGAATAGGCCGTGGAGGGGCTGAAAATTTGGAATTTCGGAAATCTGAAAATTCCAAAAACTTACAATCCCTTGATTTTTGAATCTTCTAAATGCCAAAACTGCACAAAAAATTACCAGCATTGTTGGAAAAAGCGTTAGGGTCCATCCAAGAATCTGAAGGAAAAAAATCGTGGCCTAACTTTTTCAATATGGCCTAGGATTTATGCGGATAACCTAGGTCTCACAAAATGACCTAACTTTCTCAAAATGGCCCAGTTTTCTCAAATTCGCCTAGTTTTCTCAAAATGGCCTAACTTTCTCAAAATGGCCTAGGTTTCTCAACATGGCTTAGTTTTTTCAAAATGGCCTAACGTTCTCAAGGTGGGCTAGTTTTCTCAAGGTGGCCTAGGTTTCACAACATGGTCTATTTTTTCTCAAGACGACCTAGTTTTCTCAAGACGACCTACATTTTAAAATGACCTGATTTTTCCAAGGTGGGCTAGGATTTCTCAAGGGGACCTAAATTTCTCCAAATGGCCTAGAATTATTTTCTAGGCCACTTACATCAAAAATCGGTGGATAAACATCGGGTTTATTCATGTATGGATAACTCCTCCAGCCCGTCAAAAACATCAAAATCACTCCGAAAATCGGACTCAAAAATTTCCAATTCCACCCGTAATACGGACTCGCGTGGCCTAGAAAACTCTTGCAACATCCTCGGCCATCGCCTAGCATGGATTTTAGGTCCGTTTCGAAACGGCCCATTCCGTAGAGGTAGCCAACAATGATACACATTGATGTGGCTGAAATCATCGCACCAAATCCTGAACCGTACTCGTCGAATAGTTCGAACCAGTAGATTCCGGCCTGGAAAATTCCAGATTTTCAGATTTTTCAAAAATTAAGCATTTTTAGATTTGAAAATTTAAGTTTTAAAAAATTGAGTTTTCAGAAATTGTGACTCTTTAAAAATTTGAAAATTTCAGAATTTCAGAATTTCAGAATTTCAGATTTTCAGAATTTCAAAATTTCTTAATTTCAACATTTCAGATTTTCCAGATTTCAGAATTTCAGGATTTCTGAATTTCAGAATTTCAGAATTTCTAAATTTCTGAATTTCTGAATTTCTGAAATCCTGAATCCCTGAATTTCTGAATTTCTGAATTTCTGAGTTTCGGAATTTCAGATTTTCAGAATTTCAAAATTTCAGAATTTTTTGAAAAAGTCAGAATTTTAAATTTCTGACTTTCAGACTCTGAATTTCCGGTTTTCTGAATTTCAGATTTTTAGAAATTATTTTTTTTTAACTCACATCTGTCGTCAAAACAATTCCAATCAAGAACAACACTCCGCTGACACTCGCAACGGCGATAAATTTCCGTTGTCTGAACCACGGGTACTTATCACAAAGGCATGAGCACATTTCCTCGACCATCACTGTAATTTTTGAATTTTTAAAATTTTTGACATGAAAAAGACAAGTTGTCCCTCTATTGTGTCTTTAATTTGAATCTCTAGCTTATCTGGGAGCCGAGATATAGTTATTTGAAGTTTAGGAGGCGAGACGCAGACGACGAGGCACTCTAACCGTCTGCGTCTCTTCAAACTTAAACTGGCGATATCTCAGCTCCTAGAAGAGCTAGAACAAAAATTTTTAGTAGGATTTAGAGGAAATTCGATGTATTTTTCGATTTCATCGCAAAATTGGAAAAATTGGAGAAATTGCAATTTTAAAAGTTTTGAAATTTTGTAATAATGATCTCACCCAATTCCGAACTAAATCCTAAAAGTAGCAGCATGAAAAAAAACAAAAAGCTCCATAACCAAGGAATCGGCATCTGATTCATTGCATCTGGATATGCTACAAATGCCAGTGTGGGTCCACTCGCCACAACATCAGACACCTGCACCCCGCGTTGTTTCGCCAAGAAGCCCAGAGTTGAAAAAACCGCGCCTCCACCAATCAAGGCGGCCACCGCCACTGCCACGGGCTTGTAACAGCCAGCAGCGCCGCCAAGCGCCCGTGTCCGGCTGGCCCAGTGGGTAAGAGGCCTGACTCTGGATCAGAAGGAGCAAAAGTTCGAATCCTCTTGGAGTATATAGGTATTTTATGGCTTTTGACTCGAATTTTTTATTGTTTCAAGTCTAAAATCGATTTCTAAACCAGCGTTTGAAGCAAAAAATTAGATTTTCAAGCTCAAAATTGCACATACCCTATAAAAATTATGTCCTATATCAATTAAGGGGTAGGTTGGGAAAATTAGCTGTTTGAACCGGAAACAGAGTTTAAATGACTTTAAAAAAGAATTTCGCCTCGAAAACTTCAAAAAACTGGGTTCCAGTGCGATTTTTGACTTGAAACAATAAAAAGTTCGGGTCAAACACCCTAAAAAACCTATATACCCCAAGAGGATTCGAACTTTTGCTTCTTCTGATCCAAAGTCAGACGTCTTACCCCCTAGGCCAGCCGGACGCGGGCGCTTTGCCGCGCTGCTGGCTGTTATAAGCCCTTGATAGTGGTGGTAGCAGCCGGCGCGCGGTTATAAGGGCAATGGTGGCCGCCGCCCGCTCCTGCACACTTGGCGCAATGGGCAAAATGTTTGACTTTGGAGCAGAAGAGCCACAAGTTCGAATCCTGAGTCGGTAAATAGGTTTTTTATGGCTTTTTGACTCGAATTTTTCATTGTTTTGAGTCATAAATCGATTTCTAAAGCAGTTTTTGGAGCAAAACATTAGATTTTCTAACCTGCCCTTACCCTATAACAATTATGTCCCCTGTCATTATAAGACGCAATATTCATCAATCCAGCAAATCCAAGTCCCAATGAAAAACACAATTGGGTCAGTGCGGCGGACCATGTTTCATATCTCAGCAACTTTTTGAAATCCGTCTGAGCCAAAAAGAATTTGAGCCCGTCGGAAGCTCCATCCAAAGTGACTCCTCTAACGAATAGTATCAAAATTATGACATATGGAAGGACTACGGTAGCATAGGATAGTTTTCCAATGAATTTCATTCCTTTCGTGATACAGATTACGGTAAGTATCCACGCGATAACCATAGCAATGAATACCGGCCAGTTTAGAGAGTTGATATCGGTGAGAGTGGTTGATGGGCGAACGATGAAGTTTCTAAAGGTTTTTTTAGCTGATCTGATTCGAAAAAAGTGGTTTCCAGAGCTATTTTTGAGTTGAAACTATGAAAAAATCGAATTCTACGCTATCAAAAACCTATACAGCCACTCAGGATTCGAACTTTTGACCTTTCTGAACCAAAGTCAGACCTCTTACTCACTGCGCCAGCCGGACGAGGGCGCTTGGCGACGCTGCTGGCTGTTAAAAGCCCGTGGCAATGATGGTGGCAGCCGGCGCGCGGTTTTAATGGCACTGGTGGCCGATGCCCGCTCCTACACACTTGGCGCAATGGATAAGAGGCCAGACTTTGGAGCAGAAGGTGCAAAAGTTCGAATCCTGACCGGGTATATAGGTTTTTGATAGCGTAGAATTCAGAATTTTCATTCTTAGAAGGTCAGAATCGCTCGGGAAAGCAGTTTCTTGAACAAAAATCAGTCAATTTTCGACTTTTAACTCACGTAAAGTACTGTTCTGAGGCGCTAACGAGAGTGACATTTTCATAGTCCTTGAAATCGTGACAAGACCCATTCATATAGATCATTCTGGAATGATTGAACCCCTTTCTGCACATTTCTTGGGCCGGAATATTGAAGCAAGTGGCTGGATCATTCCACGGATTATCACATTGTCCCCATTTTCCAGAATTTCCAATGATGACATTAAAGAAATAAACACTGATCCAAGCAATTAGCAACATAAAATAAATACTGACAATTGCTGCAATCGAAGCTCCGCCCCATCCGAAACCTTCTAGAATCGGCATCATCCTTCTGTAGACAAATGGAGGGGACCGTCCGTGAAATTGACCCAAAGCGAATTCCAAATAAACACATGGAAGTCCAAAAAGGATGGCACAAGTGATATAAGGGATAAGAAATGCTGATCCACCATTCTCATAAGCTCTCGTTGGAAAACGCCAAATGTTTCCGAGCCCTACAGACAGGCCCATACAACTGAGAAGGAACTCGATCTGAAAAATCGTTTTGAGAATCGAAAAAAGAGCCTTAAAATGCGTTTCTGGACTCCAGACAATGAAAAATTCGAATTTTACACTATTGAAAACCTATATACCCCCAAAGGATTCGAACTTGTGGCTCTTCTGCTCCAAAGTCAGACCTCTTACCCACTGCGCCAAGTGTGTAGGAGGGGGCGCCGGCCACCATTGCAGTTATAACGCCGGCTGCCACCATTACTTCCACGGGCTTATAACTGCCAGCAGCGCCGCCAAGCACCCGCGTCCGGCTGGCGCAGTGGGTAAGAGGTCTGACTTTGGATCAGAAGGAGCAGAAGTTCGAATCCTCTTGGGGTATATAGTTTTTTTTGGGCGGTTGACTCGAATTTTTTATTGTTTCAAGTCGGAAATCGCACTGGAACCCAGTTTTTTGAAATTTTCGAGGCGAAATTCAGCCTACCCCTTTATCAAACTTCTGTGGATCCTTGGCATTATTCGATTTTTGAGATTCCGAATCTTCGGTGTCCCCAGAATCAGTATTTTTAAGATCGCCTGAAAAAAAATTGGCTTGAAAAACGATTTTTATTTATTTAGACCTTCAGATTGAGACATTTTAAAAGAAAACAATTGTCTAGTTCAGAATTCGATTTTTTGAGTATTGTAGATAATAGACTAGAACCACGAAGCAAGTTTTTTTCTCTTTTTTCTAGTTCACGAGACATTTTTTAGAGGTTTTGAGCGATTTTCAGAAAATATACAACTTTTCTATCATTTCTGTTTTTAGTTCAGCCTTCTATCTTATCTGGGAACCGAGATACAGGGATTTGAAGTTTTCGATGCGAGAGACGCAGACGCCGAGACTACTCTAGCTGTCTGCGTCTCTCCGAAACTTTGATTGGATGTATCTCGGCTCCTAGATGAGCTAGAAGAGTCATTTTTGTTGCAATAAGCTATATTCTAGCTGGAAATTTTTACTGAAGTTCAGAAAATTCCAAAAATTCAAAATTTTTCTATTTCTTCAGATTAATTTAATCTTGAAAATTCTTTTGATTTATATATTATCTCAAAAAAGAGGAATTTTACTTCAATTATGTTTTCATTTCGAATCTCTCGCTCTTCTAGAAACCGAGATATGGTGCTTTGAAGTTTTGAAGGCGAGAGACGCAGACAACGAGACTCTCTAACTGTCTGCGTCTAAACTTCAAATCGCTGTATCTCGATTGCTAGATGAGCTAGAAGAGTCATTTTTGGTTGGATTTGAAGGAATTTTTGTGCATTTTTCAATGAGATTACAAAATTTAAAAATTGAAAAGAAATTTTTTAGACTGAATTTCAAAAAATCTGAAAAACACGAAAAATTTTCTGATATTTTTATCAACCCATTTCATCCTTTTTTTCATCGATCGACAATTCCCAAATCCCAGAAATTGCCCCACAAAAGACATAAAAAATTTCGAATGGCAATTGAATACATGTGTTTCTGTTCATTTCCCCTCCTTCTTATTGCTCATCCTTCCCTCTATTCCGATTGCTCAGATTTTCCCCTCCGTCCCGCCATTTTTCCTGAAATGAGTGGGAGTAAGTACTTTTGTTTCGTGTCATATAGATGCCCCGGCTGTGGTCCCATCCGATGACAGCAAAATCATGTCGTATAAAAGTTTTGCCACAATGTGAGGGGGGAACATTTTTTTTTTTTGAAATTCTCCTTCTTTCCAAATATGCAAAATAGAGTTTTACACATTTTAGAATTTTTAAATTTGTTTCTAGCACTTCTAGAAGCCGAGATAAATCCACATAAAGCATAGAAGGCTAGAGACGCAGTGTGTCTCGTCGTCTGCGTCTCTCCAAAACTTCGAATCACTGTATCTCGGCTTCTAGATGAGCTAGAGCGATCATTTTTCGTGGGATTTGAAGAAATTTTTGCGTATTTTTTGTTTCAATTGAAATGGTAAAAAATTCTGGAAAATTTTTTTGAAAATTTTTGGGTTTTTCTACAAAAAAAAAATTTTTTTTAATTCCTTGTTTCAGTTTCAATTTCAGCCAAAAACCAACTTTCAAGCTTTTCTAGGAGCCGAGATATAACCATTTCAAGTTTTGAAGAGCCGCAGACAGTTAGAGTGTCTCGTCGTCTGCGTCTCTAGCCTCAAAAACTTCAAATCACTGTATCTCGGCTTCTAGAAGGGCTAGAACAATCATTTTTGGTGGATTTGAAGACATTTTTGCGTATTTTTTATTTCAATTGAAATGGTGAAAAATTCTGAAAAAAAATTTTTTCAAAATTTTTGAATTTTTCCACAAAAAAAAAACAAACAGGTTTCTTTTTTTGAAATTCCTTGTTTTCAGCTTCAATTTCAGCCAAAAACCGGCTTTCTAGCTTTTCTACAGCCGAGATATAACCATTTCAACTTTTGAAGAGACGCAGACAGTTATAGAGTCTCGTTGTCTGCGTCTCTAGCCTCAAAAACTTCAAATGACTATATCTCGGCTCCCAGATGAGCTAGAATAATAATTTTAGATTGGAATGAAAGGAAAATCTATATATTTGTTTTAGAGTAAAACTCTTCAATTCCAATAAATCTGAGAACTTTGCATTTTTTAAGCTTCCATTTTTGATCATTGGTCGAAGGCAACTTTCTGACGAAACTTGCCTCTAGGCTCTTCTCCAAAGTTTTCTCTCAAATTGCACTGAAACTCTTTTTTCAGTCTCGCGTTTTTCAATTCTTGATTAAAATTGAAATCTTCTTTTCCATTTTCTTCGTTTTTCTTGTTTCCTAAAACCCAAGAAGTATAGGAAAAATAGGGAAAAAGAGGAAGCAAACAATTTGGAAATGAAATGTCAGAAGACGTCGTCTTCAGAAAATGATGACTTTGTCTTCCTCTGGAATCCCTAAATTGTATTTGTTGTCTCGCTTTTTGTATTTTTTTGGGTTTTCTTTTTCAATTCAGAAATTCAGAAATTCAGAAATTCAGAAATTCAGAAATTCAGAAATTCAGAAATTCAGAAATTCAGAAATTCAGAAATTCAAAAATTCAGAAATTCAGAAATTCAGAAATTCAGAAATTCAGAAATTCAGAAATTAAAAAAAAATTCTGAAATCATGAAGATCCAAAAAATCTGAATTTCTGAAAATCCTAAAAAATTCAAAAAGCGAAAATTCCAAAAAAAAAATCCCCGAAAATAAATCAGAAAAAAAGAGCAAGATCATAAAATAGAGCCCTCTTATGGTTTTTCTTATTTTTCTCGGTCATAACATTATTCTACTTTCCGGACCACAGAAAAAAGAGATTATTCTCTGCTTTTTTTCCTGATTTTTGACAATTTTAAAACCAAAAAAAATGAGTTGAACAAAAACGAAAATTTTGGGTTTTTGGGATTCCTTTGGGACCCCAAATGGTCCGAAATAGAAGACGTGGGATGCTGAAAAAAATGTATGAAAATGTTCTTTTTCTGTGGGGTTTTTGAGGGTCCTCATTATGAGTTTTTTGATGTTATATTATTTTTTTGGAAATAAGAATTCATGGAAAAAATACAAAATTTCTGAATTTCTGAATTTCTGAATTTCTGAATTTCTGAATTTCTGAATTTCTGAATTTCCGAATTTCTGATTTTCTGAATTTCTGAATTTCGGAATTTCTGAATTTCTTAAAATTCTTTTCAGAACTTTCGAAGCAGCTGAAACTTTCTGCAAAATAACATCTAATTTGAAATTTCGATATGGATTACTGTAGCTAATTTTTCAGCTGTTTCTTTTTCAGAATTTGAAGCAATTCTGAATTTTTCAGAAGTTTCGGAATTTTCCGAAATTTCAGAGTTCAAATTCAAAAATGAATTTTATACATTTCTTGGTCCATATTTCTGAAAAAGTAAAAAAAAAAAATAGTCAGAACCCAGAAGAAAGAGAACATCAAAGTGATTGACAATTGTTGTCTTCCTTTTTCCATTTTCTCATTTTTTTTTTTGGTGAATTTCTCTCTCATATTCCAACTTTTTCTTCTCAAATTCTGGAAATTTCTGTTTAAAACCTCAGAATTTTCCAGAATAAAACCCAATTTTTTTTTTTCGCTTCTCCTCTATTTTTCATAACATCCGTTTTCCCCCCATATATTCGATAACAAATTACCGGAATTCAATAATTTCCCGTTATTTTCAGAATCCTTTGTCTAGGTCCTTCTACTATTTCAAGAATACTACTTACTTTATTTTCAAAAAAAAAAATATTTTTTTCCTAAATTTAAAAATTCAGCATTTTTAAAAATATTTTTCTTGAAAAATATTACGTTTTGCAGAAAGAATCAGCTTTCTAGAATATCCGCGAGCTGAGATACAGCGCTTTGAATTTGCGAAGAGACGCAGGCAATTAGAGTGTCTCGTTGCCTGCGTCTCTCGCCTCCTAAACCTCAAAGCGCTGTTTCTCGGCTCCCCATGCACCGATTTTGTTCATTTTTCCGACAAAATTTTTGGATTCGTTAGTTTTATCAATTGATCAGCATTTTTCAAACTTTTTGAAAATTGCAAAACTTTTATTTTTTTTTTTTTCATCTTCCTAGCTCTTCTAGAACCCGAGATTGACCCATTCAAAGTTTCTGAGGCTAGAGGCGTGGACAACAAGACACGCTGGCTGTCTGCGTCTCTTCAAAACTTCAAATAGTCATATCTCGGCTCCTAGAAGTGCCAGGAACTTGATTCTTGGAGCAAATTGTAGAATTTTTTCCCGTTGTTCAGATTCTTGGAAAAATTTTGTGGTCCATTTTGCCAAATATATACATACTTGTTGTTACTCGGATGTCCATTTTTTTGGGTGGCGGTGGTGGTGTACTCCATTTGATTTATGACATATTTTTTGGAAAAGAGATGCAGAGAAAGCATAGAAGACATTGTAAAAGTGTCAAGCATTTTCGAGTTTCTAGAATATCAGAATTTCAGAATTTTTGCAATTTTCGAATTATTTTGAATTTAAAAAACTTTAAAATATTTACAGATGGAGTATAAAATAATGAACAAATCAGTCCAAAAACCGACTTTCTAGCTTGCCTAGAACCCGAGATAAAACGATTTAAATTCTAGGAGGCTAGAGACGCAGTGTATCTCGTCGTCTGCGTCTCTCACCTCCGAAACTTTAAATGAAGATATCTCGGCTCTAAAATGAGCTAGAAAGATGCGATTTCCACAGAATTGATTTAATTCTTATCAAAAATTCGAATTCGCCAAATTTCAGAAGAATGGTTTTTTTTGAAAATTAGGAAACATTTCAAAGTCAGCTGCTTCTCTTTTGTTTCGCTCTCTAATTCGAAAATGTATCGCTTTTTTTCTCGAAATTTCTGACACTTTTCTATATGGACCCATGTTATTCAAAATGTCCCTTTTGAATTTTTTTGAAATTCCAAATTTCCCCTTCTTCTTCCGAAGACAAAGTTTCCCATCGGGGACTCATAAACCAAAAAATCATGTAGTTGAGTTCTCGTTTTCACACACTTGAAGAGAACTCCCTCTCTCTTTTTCTCTGCGCCTCTCTCTCTCTCTCTCTCTCTCTCTCTCTCTCTCTCTCTCTCTCTCTCTCTCTCTCTCTCTCTCTTTCCTCTTGTTTTACATATATCACATCATCAGAAAATTCAGAAGAACTTGAGTTCGAAAAAACTCCTCTTCGTTGGAGAATTTTGGATTCTCAATGTTGACTTCTTACACTTCGTGTTTGCAGAATTCAAGTTCCTCCGATGACGTCACGAGAAGGCGCCAGAAGCATGGCAAGCTTCAGAAGGACAGTTCTGGTTTTTCTGGTTTTTATGGAAGCTGTACAGGTATGAAGAAATTGTTAAATGTGAGAAATCTGTTAAAAAATCGAGCTTCTGGAGTTTTTAGAACCCGAGATATAGCACTTTGAAGTTTTGGAGAGACGCAGGCAGTTAGAGTGTCTCGTTGTCTGCGTCTCTCGCATCCCAAACTTTGAACGACTGTATCTCGGGTTCTAGATAAGCTAGAAGAATGATTTTTTGACTAGTTTGTTTCATTTTTTGCACTTTTTTATTATTTAAAGATTTTTGAAATTTTTGATCTGTCTTATATTTCGGGAGAGTTACTGTTTTTGTAGTTTTAAGCCAGTATAGGTATTTTTGATCAAAAATTTCAAAAATTTCGGAAATTCCGAGACGTTTGCAAAACTAAATTCCAAAGATTCAAAATAACTTTTTCTGATTTTGGAAAGTTAAAAAATTCTAAATTTTTGAAAAAATCAAAAAATGCAAGTTGTAAGCTCCAATTTTGTCTAAAAATCAGGATTCTAGCGTTTCTAGAACCCGAGATATAGCTCTTCGAAGTTTATGAGAGACGCAGACAGTTAGAGTGTCCTGTTGTCTGCGTCTCTAGCCTTTTAAACTTCAAAGCGCTGTATCTCGGCTCGGTTTTTTCAAAAATTGTTGGAATTTTCAATGTAACCTTACAAGGGAACCGGTAATAGTAATAAATTCATGAATTTGGGGGAAAATAAAATGTGTTTTTGCAAATTTTTGTGAGAAATGAAATTTACTAAAAATTTGACACAATTCTATCTAATTTTCAAGTTTCTAGCTCTCCTAGAAACCGAGATATAGTCATTTGAAGTTTTGAAGTTGAGAGACGAAGACAACGAGACACTCTGCGTCTCTATCATCTTGAAGAGACGCAGACAGTGGAAACTTCAAATCGCCGTATCTCCAGTTCTGGAACAGCTAGTAACTTGGTTTTTTGACGAAAATCATCGGATTTCCAGATTTGCTCTGGCGTGCGAGCCGCGTTGCGGCTCCGCAAAAAGTCCAACTCGGCGGATGACTCGGAAGATGAGGAGTTGCAGGATGAGATGTACAACGACGCAATTTATGATAAGGCGTCGATTTTTGAGCAGGGGTGTGTTGTTTAGTTTCCAAAATCAACTTTCTAGGACGTCTCGGCGCCGAGATGCAGCCATTTGAAGAGACGCAGACAGTTAGAGTGTCTCGTTGTCTACGTCTCTGGTCCTCAAAATTTTAAATGACCACATCTCAGGTTCTAGATAAGCTAGGAACCAGAAATTTGGACAGAAAAGGTTAGGAATTTCAAATTTTTGGGAAAGAAAAAAGTCGGTTCAAATACTGAAAGTAGAAATCATTTCCTTCAATTCGGTGCAAAAATCACTTTTCTAGCTGCCCTAGAAGCTGAGATACAGACATTTCAAGTCTTTGAGAGACGCAGACAACGAGACACTCTGCGTCTCTCGCCCGACGTGAGAGACGCAGACATTGAAACTTCAAAGCGCTGTATCTCGGCTATTAGATGAGCTAGAACCTTCTAGTTTTTTTGCAAAACATCCCAAATTTTCAATAGAATTCATTTTCAGAGAAACCCACGACTTCCTCCAATTCCTTCGTTCCATAAAATACGATCATCGTCAGGTACCAGACGACGGATTCGATGGACCCGTTCATGTGAACGTCTCCATCGTTGTCAGTAACATTCGATCGGTTTCTGAAGTCACCATGGATTATTCCATTGAAATGTTTTATCGAGAATCGTGGCGAGACCCAAGGCTAACCTATAGTAGAGAGAAATTTAAGAATAAAACTGAAATTTCGCTTCATGAGAGCTACTCGAATTTTCTATGGCATCCGGACACTTTTGTGCCAAATGCGATTTCTTCGAAAAATCCCAGAAGGCAATCGATAACGCATCGATCGCTTTTGAGGTAGGAATCTTTGACAGCTGACCGAAAATTGGGCTGAAAATCTGGAAAAAAATTTCCAGACTTCGAAATAACGGATCAATATTGTATAGCCGACGATTATCGTTAATTTTGACATGTGGAATGGACCTGACCCTGTTTCCATTCGACACTCAACTATGTAAAATGGGCTTTGAAAGTTGTAAGCTACAGTATCCCAAGAAATTGAATCCTGAAAGTTTCAAAAAATTTCAGACGGCTACACAGCGGACAAAGTCAAATATTTTTGGTCATCTGGAGTCATCCAATCTCTGAAACTTCACAAAATCCGGCTACCTGATTTCCAGGTCAAGGAGGCTTATGTGACAAGTCGAGTGGAGAGCTATGCTACTGGTAGGTACTACCTAGACCGTTGCAGGAAATTTGAATCTTCTTCAAAGTTTTGAAGGTGAGAGACGCAGACAACGAGACAATCTAACTGTCTGCATCTCTTCAAATTTCAAATCACTCTATCTCAGCTTCCCGGTAGCCTAGGAAGTTCATTTTTCTTCCATTCTGACTCTCAAGGTCACCTTAACACTTTTTGGGTTAGGGTGAAAACATGATTCCAAAGTTTCAAGTTTCGAAATTAAATTTTTCCCCAAGTTCTGTTTTTTTAATAAATCAAACAATACAAATTCAATCTGTCATTTTGGTAAAAACAATCAATTTTCTAGGAACCGAGATATAGCTCTTTAAATTTAAGGAGGCAAGAGACGCAGACGACGAGACACTCTAACTGTCTGCGTCTCTTCAAAACTTAAAAGCTCTGTATCTTGGGTTCTAGAAGAGCTAGAAGAATGATTTTTCGACTAGTTTGTTTCATTTTTTGCACTTTTTTTCATAAATCAAAGTTTTCAGCGATTTTTCTAAAAATATTTTTTTGAAAACTTCAATTTTTTAGAAATACTATTAATTTTAAGAATATCCTTCGGAATTCATGTATTTATGTAAAAGTTTGAGCTTTCTAGCTCATCTACAAACTGAGATACAGCGCATTGAAATTTCGGAGGTGAGAGACGCAGACGACGAGACACACTGCGCCTCTCGCACGACATGAGAGACGCAGACATCTAAACTTCAAAGCGCTGTATCTCGGCTGCCAGATGAGCTAGAAAGCTCATTCTTTTTGCAAAAGAATTGATGTTGAAGGAAATTAATTTTTTTGAAAGTCTCAAACATTACAGGTGACTACTCTCGTCTGTACGTATGTTTTGTGTTCAATCGAGCCGCCGGTTTCTGTTTCTTGCAACTAATCATTCCGTCGACAGCTGTTGTCATAACCTCTTGGGTTTCGCTGTGGATGGAAAACGAGACATCGTTTCAGGTGATTTTTCGGATAAAACTTTTCTCCCAAATTAAAAAAAAAATTTCAGGACATGATCTCTATTATCCTCACTATCACATTTTTATTGTTTTCGTACAATGAAGTGATGCCCCGTGTTAGTTATATCAAAGCAATGGATGTGTATCTAGGTAGATCAGAATTTTGAAAAAATCGATAATCGATTTTTCAGGTGTCTGTTTTTGTATTGTGTTCCTCTCACTGATCAAACTGGCAGCTGTGAAGTATATGAGACAGAGATTATTGATAACGAGGTGAGAAATTCAGAAATTCAGAAATTCAGAAATTCAGAAATTCAGAAATTCAGAAATTCAGAAATTCAGAAATTCAGAAATTCAGAAATTCAGAAATTCAGAAATTCAGAAATTCAGAAATTCAGAAATTCAGAAATTCAGAAATTCAGAAATTCAGAAATTCAGAAATTCAGAAATTCAGAAATTCAGAAATTCAGAAATTCAGAAATTCAGAAATTCAGAAATTCAGAAATTCAGAAATTCAGAAATTCAGAAATTCAGAAATTCAGAAATTCAGAAATTCAGAAATTCAGAAATTCAGAAATTCAGAAATTCAGAAATTCAGAAATTCAGAAATTCAGAAATTCAGAAATTCAGAAATTCAGAAATCTGAATGTCTGAAAGTCTGTAAATCTGAAAATCTGAAAATCTGAAAATCTGAAAATCTGAAAATCTGAAAATCTGAAAATCTGAAAATCTGAAAATCTGAAAATCTGAAAATCTGAAAATCTGAAAATCTGAAAATATGGAAATCTGAAAATATGGAAATCGGAAAATCCAAAATTTTAATAATTTCAAAAGTCCTTAAGTTTCTAACCCTTGTTCTTGCTCTAACCCAATCCATTTATTCCTAACCCAATTATTGATTTTTCATCCTCCTAATCAATTATCGATTTTCTTAAAAATCGATTTTTCTGTTTTCCGAACTAACAATTCCCTGTACAAACTGTCTCAAGTGGGTACCGAATGCACGCTGACCCGTCTGGATGCCTTCGAAATGGAGAATTTGGAAAATGCCACGTCATCAACTTCTGAAGACGTCGTCAAGACTTCAGATGGACCTTCCAGCCAAACAATGTGAGGAGCACTCTGGAGATTTTTGAAAATTTTGCATGATTTATTTCTCGGAATGCCTTCTTCTATTCTCTATCTATCGCACAACTTGAAAAATTAAAATTCCTGAAAATTCGAATTTTCCAGAGACACATCGATCGTTGCCGCTGGCATGCTACCTATGCTTCGATTGGTCAATGGAATCTCATCCCCGGAGGTCAATGGATCTACAGGCGGATTCACTTATGAGAATCCTGCGGTTAAAAAGTGAGTAATTGTGAAAATTTGAAGCTTCTAGCTCTTCTGGGAGCCGAAATACAGCGCTTTGTAGTATAGGAGGTGGGTGACGCAGACAACGAGACACTCTAACTGTCTGCGTCTCTTCTAAACTTTGAGGCGTTGTATCTCGGGTTCTAGAAGAGCTAGGAAGATGAAAATTGGACAGAATTATTAGTGAAAACAAACCGGTTCTGTGTTTTCCAAGAATTTTGAAAATTTTTAATTTTTTAATTTTTTCAAAAAATTTCGAAAATGCATATTATTAGATAAAACTAAAAGTTTTAGAAATCCCTGTAAAAAAATGAATCTTCTAGACCTACTGGAAACCGAGATATGGCTATTTAAATTTTAAGAGGTGAGAGACGCAGACAACGAGACACTCTAACTGTCTGCGTCTCTTCAAAACTCCAAATGGCTGTATCTCGAGTTCTAGGTTGCCTAGAAAGATGAAAGTTGGACAGAATTATGTAAAAATAAGCATATCTTGTGAAAATAGGAAATTTGAATTTGTCAATTTTCAAAAAAAAAATTCACAAAAATTTCAAAAATGCACATAATTTGATAAAACTAAAAGTGTTAAGCTCTTCTGTAAAAGAACAAACCTTCTAGCTCATCTGGGAGCCGAGATATAGCGCTTTGAAGTTTCGGATGCTAGAGACACAGACAACGAGACACTAGAGACACAGACAACGAGCTTAACATTTCAAAGTTTTCTGTAAAAAAACAAATCTTCTAGCATTTTTAGAACCCGAGATACAGCTATTTGAAGTCTAGGAGAGACGCAGACAACGAGACACTCTAACTGTCTGCGTCTCTTCTAAACTTTGAGGCGCTGTATCTCAGCTCTGAGATGAGCTAGAAACTTGAAACTTTCTGAAAAATATGTAATTTTTAGTTAATTCTCAGAAAATCTTGAAATCTTTAGGGTCTCCATGTCCCCCGACACGTTCACTCAAATCCCAATCGACACCAATGGCACAACGACTCCAGTATGCCGTCAGAATCGCGCCAAGGACAATGGAAATGGTAGCCGAATTTCAAAATTTCAGAAATTTTGAAAATTGAACTAAGTTACAGTATCCCAATCATCATCGTGGTTTGAATTCTCACCGACTTTCATGCATCGCTTCCATTGGATCACACAGATGACGTTCTTCTTTGGATTCGTCATTTTTTGCCTTTTTTATTTTTTGGTCTATCCAAATATTCATACACAGGTTGGTTTTTAGGTGAAAACAGTGTAAAAATCATGATTCTAAGTGCATTTTGAGCTGAGATAGAGCCATTTGAAGTTATAGAAGCGAGAGGCGCAGACGACGAGACACTCTAACTGTCTGCGTCTCTTCTAAACTTTAAACGCCTGTATCTCGAGTTCTAGAAGAGCTAGAAAATTGGTTTTGGGACCAGTTTTCATCATTTTTCATACTATTCCAGGTGCTAAAAAGAGTTGAATTGGAAAATTTTCTCAAATTTCCATTTCTCGACAATGAAAATAAACAGACATTTTCCTTTATTTCTATCCAATTTACATCTTTCTAGCTCATTTTAGAGCCGAGTTACAGTCATTTGAAGTTTCGAAGGCTAGAGACGCAGACGACGAGACACTCTAACCGTCTGCGTTTCCTCTAAAATTTAAACGCCTGTATCTCGGCTCTCAGATAAGCTAGAATGCTGGTTCTGCTGGAAACTGAAGCTGAAAATCTGAAAAATTCGAAAATCAAAAAACCTTCGAGAAAATTTTTTTCCAGATTACCGACGACGATTGTGACCGTCAGATGGCCGAGTGGTTCGCTGAAATTCATTGAAAACGATTTTCTTCTGAAAATGGAAATTTTACATTCTAATTTTATTATTTCTCTTCGGGTTTCGAAAATTTGTTTAACATAAATATTTTTGGCCTAGATCTCTCTTTTTTTTTCTTTATGGCCTAGGTTTCTCCAGATGGCCTAACTTTTGCAACGTTGCCTAGGTTCCTCAGTATAGCCCAGGTTTCTCCAGATATCCTAGTTTTCTTAATATGGCTTAGGTTTCTCAAGATGGCCTAGGTTCCTCAAAATGGCCTAGAATTTTCCCAGATGGCCTAGTTTTCTCAATATGGCCTAACTTTCTCAGCATGGCCTAGTTTTCTCAAAATGGCATAGAATTTTCCCAGATGGCCTAGTTTTCTAAATATGGCCTAAGTTTCTCAGCATGGCCTAGTTTTCTCAAAATGGCCTAGAATTTTCCCAGATGGCCTAGGTTTCTCAAAATGGCCTAGGTTTCTCAAGATGCTCTAGTTTCCTCAAGGTGGCCTAGATTTCTCCAGATGGCCTAACTTTCCCAAGGTGGCCTAACTTTTTCAAAAAAAAAAGACAGATCATTAGTAAAACCGTTTATTCCGTTGAAAATTTTTCTGGTCAAAAATTGCAGATCACGAATTTTTTTGAAATATGTCTTCCTTTTTTCCAATGTCTATACACTATCCGTTCGAGTCGTCGTATTGCTCATCTCACATTCTACAGTAATACTTTCGGCACTTTTCGGTTCAAAATCCACTAATTGTCGTCCAATTTCCTGTTTTTCCGGGGACCATTCATCGAAGATTCGAGAAAATGATGGATGCGATTTTTGGACCATGAATAGGCCGCGGAGGTGCTGAAAATTTTGAATTTAGTCTGAAATTTTGAAAAATCAAAATTCCAAAAAAACTCCAAAAAACTCACAATTTCCAGTTTTTGAAAATTTCGATATGCCAGAAATGCACAAATCGGGACCATACTGAATGGAGAGATTGCTAGGGTCCAGCCGAGGATCTGGAAGAATAAACGGTGGCCTAGGATTCTCAAGATGGCCTAGGTTTCCCCAAATGGCCTAGGTTCCTCAGAGTGGCCTATAGTCTGTTGTGTGTCCCATTTCGTTATAACGTGGTGGCCTAGAAAACTCAACTTGCAAAAGTTAGGCCATCAAGTTGAAATGACCTAGAATACACACCAGGGGCATGTTAGGCCATTTCTAGGTCATTTTAACATGGTGGCCTAGAAAACTCAAATTGCAAAAGTTAGGCCGCCATGCTAAGTGACCTAGAACACAGAAGATGGCCTAGATTTCTCAATATGCCTTAGATTTATCCAAATGACCTAGTTTTCTCAAGATGGCTCTGGCTTCTCAATATGGTCTAACTTTTTCAAGATGACCTAGAATTTTCTAGGCCACTTACATCAAAAATCGGTGGATAAACATCGGGTTTATTCATGTATGGATAATGCCTCCAGCCTGTTAAAAAAACCAAAAACAGCCCAAAAACCGGACTCAAAAATCTCCAATTCACACGAAAATATGGGCTATTGTGGCCGAAAAATCTGGAGCAACATCCCCTTTTCGAGCCCATCATTGATTTTAAATCGATTTTGAAATTGCCCATTCCGTAGAGATGGCCAACAATGATGCACATTGATGTGGCTGAAATTACAGCACCAAATCCTGAGCCGTACTCGTCGAATAGGGAAAACCAATAGATTCCGGCCTGGAAAATTTCAGAAATTTCAGATTTTTTTTGAATTTCGGGGTTTTCTGAAAATTAGAGGTTTTCAGTCATTCAGAATTCTAGATTTCCAGAGATTTAGATATTCTGGAAATTTCAGATTTTAGTTTTTTTTTTCGGATTTTCTGGAACTGTAAAGTTTCTGAATTTCTGAATTTCTGAATTTCTGATATTCCGATTTTCTGAATTTCTGAATTTCTGAAATTCTGATTTTCTGAATTTCTGAATTTCTGAATTTCTGAATTTCTGAATTTCTGAATTTCTGAATTTCTGAATTTCTGAATTTCTGAATTTCTGAATTTCTGATATTCCGATTTTCTGAATTTCTGAATTTCTGATATTCCGATTTTCTGAATTTCTGAATTTCTGAATTTCTGAATTTCTGAATTTCTGAACTTCTGAATTTCTGAACTTCTGAATTTCTGAACTTCTGAATATCTGAATTTCTGAATTTCTGAATTTCTGAATTTCTGAATTTCTGATTTTCTGGAATTCCCGATTTTCAGATTTTCTGGAATTCCCGATTTTCAGATTTTCTGGAATTCCGATTTTCAGATTTTCAGATTTTCAGATTTTCAGAGGTATCAGTTTCTACGAATTTCATTTTTGTATTACAGATTTTCAGTTTCTCGGAATTTTGGAGTTTCTGAACTTCAGATTTTTCTCAGAATTTTCTGAATTTGCAAATTTAAAATTTCCAGATTTTTAGTTTTTCAGATTTTTAGATTTCTATTTTTGTCAAATTTCAGGATTCCCAAAAACTCACATCTGTAGTAAAAATCAATCCAATACAGAAAAGTACACTACAAACTACAGTAACCACCAGGAATTTCCTTTCTCGAAGTCTCGGAAATCGATCATAGAGGCACGAGCATATTTCTTCAACCATCACTAAATTTAATTTTTTCAATAAGTTTCTCAATAGAGCACACTTACCAAACACGGAACTAAATCCTAAGAGCCACAACATTACAAAAAATAGAAAATTCCAGAGGTACGGTATTGGCATCTGATTCATCGCATCTGGATACGCTACAAATGCCAACGTGGCACCGGATTCTAAAACTTCTGAAATCGGAACGCCCCGTTGTTTGGCCAAAAATCCTAGGGTCGAAAACACAGCGGCTCCGCCGATCAACGACATCGTGGTATCGCCAATGATGACGAATATGGCGTCCTGGAAATTGTTTTAGGCTTGAAGAGAGGCTGGAAATGAGTTCTACGCCCCAAAAAACCTAGTGCAGGCTCAAACAATCTCAAAATTCTTCAAAAAATCTCAAAAAAGGATTTCCTTCGCGTTTTTCAGGTTCTCACACCCAAAAATTCGAGTTTTACGCCTTAAAAAACCTATAAACCCCTTCAGGATTCGAACTTTTGACCCCTCTGCTCCAAAGTCAAACCTCTTACCCACTGCGCCAACTGTGCGAGGCCAAGCAGCGGCCACTTTTTGTCCCTAGAAGCGCGCGCTTTGCGGTGGGCAAGCAGCCAGCGGCGCCGCCGAGCGCCTGTGCCGGAATAGCGCAGTGGGTAAGAGGTTTGGCGTTGGAGCAGAAGGGTCAAAAGTTCGATTCCTGAGTGGGTATATAGATTTTTTTAGGCGTAGAATCCATATTTTTTATTGTTTCAGGTCGAAAACTGGCTCGAAAAGTACTTTTTGAATTGAAAATTGTAGAAAATCAGCTTTTTTCGAACCGCTCTCGGTGTGTATAAGGTTCGGGATAGTGTAGAACTTGAATTTGACAGTTTTAGATTCTAGAAATTCAGTTCTGACTGGCTTTTTGAGCTTTCGATCCCAAGAATCTACTCACCCTATAACAATTATGCTTCCGATTATTATACGACGCGATATTCATCAATCCGCCAAATCCGATGGACAGTGAAAAACACAACTGGGTGAGTGCGGCGGTCCACGTTTCATATCTCAACAGCGAGCTGAAATCCGAAGCGAGCAGGAAGAATTTGAGCCCGTGAGATGCTCCATCCAAGGTGACACCTCTTACAAACAGTACGAACATTATAAAGTACGGTAGGATTACTGTAACATATGCCAGTTTTCCCACGAATTTCATTCCTTTCGTGATACAGAGTACGGTAATCATCCATCCGATAGCCATCGCGACGAAAATCGGCCAATTCAGAGTGTTGACATCGAGAAGGCCTTTGGAGGGACGGATTATGAAGTTTCTGGAATTCAAAAATTCCCAAAAAATCTCGGTTTTGACCACATTTTTAATTCAAAAAGTGCTTTCCATCACGATTTTCAGCATTTGAAGACCAAAAATTTGACTCAAAAGCCTTAAAAACCCTATATACCCCTGAAGGATTCGAACTTTTGACCCCTCTGCTCCAAAGTCAAACCTCTTACCCACTGCGCCAAGTATGCGAGGCGAGCGGCGTCCAGCGTGTGCCCTTATAACCGCGCCTGCCATCATTGCCGCCGAAGCGCGGGTTCATAACAGCCAGCGGCGCCACCGAGCGCCTCCGCCCAGATGGCGCAGTGGGTAAGAGGTCAGACTTTGGAGCAGAAAGCCAAAAGTTCGAGTCCTGAGTGGGCAAATAGGTTTTTTAGGGTGTAAAGTTCGATTTTTTTGGGTGTAAGAAGCCCTAAATGAACGTCAAACGTGTTTGAAGGAGCGAAAAGTTGTCAATTTCACTGAATTTTTAATCTAAAAAGTACTATATAGGTTTACAAAGACCTAAAAGTTTAATTCAAAAGTTAGTTCGCGCCTAAAATGGAGTTCTAAGCCCTGTTTTCCCTCCTAAAAGTTTTAACTTACGTAAAATACTGTTCCGACGCGCTCACCAGCGTTACATTTGCATAATCTTGAGCGTCATGACACGATCCATTCATATACACAAACTTCTTCGGCTCCATATCAGTACTATTCCAATTTCGTTGGTGTCCATGTTTACAGGATTCTTGAGCCGGAATATTGAAACAAGTGGCTACATCATTCCAAGCATTATCACATTTTCCCCAAGACGACGAATTTCCAATTATTACATTAAACATATAAACACTGATCCAAGCAATCACCAGCATTAAATAAATACTGACAGTGGTGATTAAAATCGCCGCGACCCAACCGAAACCTTCGAGAATCGGCATTATCCTACTGTAGACAAATGGTGGGGATTTTCCCTGATATTGACCCAAAGCGAACTCCAAATAAACCCCGGGAAGGCCGAAAAGGATGGCACAAATGATATAGGGGATGAGGAATACGGATCCGCCATTCTCATAAGCTCTCGTTGGAAAACGCCAAATGTTTCCGAGTCCTACAGACATTCCTAATGCACTTAACAGGAATTCGATCTGAAAATAGCTCAAATTAGCAGATTTTCTTAATAAAAAGTACTTCCCCACCCATTTTTCGGGTTCTAACATCTGAAAATTCGAAAAAGCGCGGTTATAAGGGCACACGCTGGACGCCGCTCGCCTCGCATACTTGGCGCAGTGGGTAAGAGGTTTGACTTTGGAGCAGAGGGGTCAAAAGTTCGAATCCTTCAGGGGTATATAGGGTTTTTAAGGCTTTTGAGTCAAATTTTTGGTCTTCAAATGCTGAAAATCGTGATGGAAAGCACTTTTTGAATTAAAAATGTGGTCAAAACCGAGATTTTTTGGGAATTTTTGAATTCCAGAAACTTCATAATCCGTCCCTCCAAAGGCCTTCTCGATGTCAACACTCTGAATTGGCCGATTTTCGTCGCGATGGCTATCGGATGGATGATTACCGTACTCTGTATCACGAAAGGAATGAAATTCGTGGGAAAACTGGCATATGTTACAGTAATCCTACCGTACTTTATAATGTTCGTACTGTTTGTAAGAGGTGTCACCTTGGATGGAGCATCTCACGGGCTCAAATTCTTCCTGCTCGCTTCGGATTTCAGCTCGCTGTTGAGATGAAGTTTTGAAGAGACGCAGACAACGAGACACCTCTAACCGCCTGCATCTGAAGCTAGAGTTTCTCGTTTTCTGCGTCTCTCGCCTCCTAAACTTTGAAACGCTGTATTTCAGCTTCTAGATGAGCTAGAGAGTTGGTTTCTGAACAGACTTAAATAGGAAATATAGTTAAAAAAAGGAAACAAAGGAACTTAACTTAAAAAAGGAACTTAGGAAATATAGTTTATTTAATGATTTAAAAACGAAAAACAGAACAAATTAATTTATACAGATCGACTTTTGAAAACTACAGTAGCCACGGTAGCAGGAGAACTCCTCTTGAACATTTGTTGTAGTTTTTTGCGCATCTGAAAACGTACTTTTTTTCGAAGAAACTGAAACTGAAAAAAAATCATTACCGGAGAGCTGAAAAAGTACAGTAACCAAGGTTGAACAAGTGTCAAACCATCACTAACAAATGGGCGAATAATTGAAAGATACGGTAGATAATCGGAATGCTCGAAAGTGAGCATTCCGATGCTTAGAAAATTCCCAATCACTTGGATAATCAAAGTGATTGAGGTGATTTCGAGGAAATTGGATTCTGGAAAAAAACAGTTCAAGAATTTGAGAATTCAAAATTTCAATTTTCAAAATTTCAGATTTTTTGGAGTTTCAGATTTTTTGGAGTTTCAGATTTTCTGAAACTTCTAGTTTTTAGAAACTTCAGATTTTTTGAATTTCAGCATTTCAAGATTTCTTGAAACTGAATTTCCAGCAATGCTGATATTCTGAAGACTCTGAAATCCGAAAAAAAACTTTTTCAGACAAATATCTTCCAATGGCTTTTATATTTTCAACTGGCTATCAAATGGCATTTATGCAATACGGAATGACCACAATTATCACTCTGAACCGTCTTACTGTACTTTTGAATTTCACATTTTTTGAACCAGTGAGTTAATTTTGTTTTTGGAAATTTTCAATTTTTCGAAACATCCTTTTCAAAAATCATTAAAAATCTAGAAAAAAAAGATAATTATTTTTGAAAATTTTCAAAAAACAATTTTTTTTTTGAATTTTTGGATTTTTCAGATCTGGAAGAAATACAGTTGGCTATTAGTTATTTTCCTCATCTTTCTTCCATTTTTGAGCACAAAAGTTGCTCTGAATTATGATTCCAAATTCTCATATCAGAACTCGACGGATTATTTTTTACTGACTTCTGGAATGCCAGTTTGGGAAATTTACTCAATTTTAATTCCATTTATGATAGTTACCATAGTTACTAGTTTGGCGGCTAATTTGTCTAGTTTCGTTTTTGTCAAACATCGAAAATTGGTGATGGCTTATAAAGCAGGTAAGCTATCTGAAGATTTGAAAACCTGAAAAATATTTAAATCTGGAAGACGTTAAACAATCAGAAAATCAGAAAACTAAAAATTTTAAAAATCTGTTAATTGTGAGAATCTGAGAATCTCAGAATCTCAGAATTTCAGAATCTCAGAATTTCAGAATCTCAGAATTTCAGAATCTCAGAATTTCAGAATCTCAGAATTTCAGAATCTCAAAATCTCAGAAACTCAGAATCTCAGAATCTCAGAATCTCGGAATCTCAGAATCTCAGAATCTCAAAATCTCAGAATTTCAGAATCTCAGAATCTCAGAATTTCAGAATCTCAGAATTTCAGAATCTCAGAATCTCAGAATCTCAGAATCTCAGAATTCCAGAATCTCAGAATTTCAGAATTTCAGAATTTCAGAATCTCAGAATTTCAGAATCTCAGAATTTCAGAATCTCAAAATCTCAGAATCTCAGAATTTCAGAATCTCAGAATCTCAGAATCTCAGAATCTCAGAATCTCAAAATCTCAGAATTTCAGAATCTCAGAATCTCAGAATCTCAGAATCTCAGAATCTCGGAATCTCAGAATTTCAGAATTTCAGAATCTCAGAATCTCAGAATCTCAGAATCTCAGAATCTCAGAATCTCAGAATCTCAGAATCTCAGAATCTCAGAATTTCAGAATCTCAGAATCTATGAAAACCTGAAATTTTCGAAAATCTCGAAACCTGAATATCCCGATTATTTGGAAAGCCAGAAAATCAGGAAATCTGAAATTTTTGATTCAAACTTAAAGATTTTCCGAAATATTGAAAATTTTGAAAATTGTGAAAACCTGAAAATTTGAAGTTTCGATTTTCTTAGAAATCTGAAAATCCTTCTAAATATTTTAAATTTTCTGAAAATTGAAATTTTGAATTCTCAAATTCTTGAACTGTTTTTTTCCAGAATCCAATTTCCTCGAAATCACCTCAATCCTTTGATTATCCAAGTGATTGGGAATTTTCTAAGCATCGGAATGCTCACTTTCGAGCATTCCGATTATCTACCGTATCTTTCAATTATTCGCCCATTTGTTAGTGATGGTTTGACACTTGTTCAACCTTGGTTACTGTACTTTTTCAGCTCTCCGGTAATGATTTTTTTTCAGTTTCAGTTTCTTCGAAAAAAAGTACGTTTTCAGATGCGCAAAAAACTACAACAAATGTTCAAGAGGAGTTCTCCTGCTACCGTGGCTACTGTAGTTTTCAAAAGTCGATCTGTATAAATTAATTTGTTCTGTTTTTCGTTTTTAAATCATTAAATAAACTATATTTCCTAAGTTCCTTTTTTAAGTTAAGTTCCTTTGTTTCCTTTTTTTAACTATATTTCCTATTTAAGTCTGTTCAGAAACCAACTCTCTAGCTCATCTAGAAGCTGAAATACAGCGTTTCAAAGTTTAGGAGGCGAGAGACGCAGAAAACGAGAAACTCTAGCTTCAGATGCAGGCGGTTAGAGGTGTCTCGTTGTCTGCGTCTCTTCAAAACTTCAAATGGCTGGAACTTGACTTCTAGGTGGGCTAGGACGATGCAAACTAGACAGTTTTCGTGAAAAATAGTTGTTTCTAAGTATTTGGTTATTTTTTGATTTTTTCAAAATTTCGAAAAAATTTTGAAAAGGCGTACCATTTGGTGAAATTTGAAATTTCAAAGTTTTCTATGAAAGAAAAAACCAGCTTTCTAGCTCGTCTAGCTCGAAATACAGCGCTTCGAAGTTTAGGAGGCTAGAGACGCAGACGACGAGACACTCTAACTGTCTGCGTCTCTCTGAAACTTCAAACTGGTGTATCTTGGCTTCTAGAAGAGCTAGAAGAGCTAGGTCATTTTGATAACTTCGGAGCTGTGATGCATGTCAATGAGAAACTAGTAATTTTTTCTAATTTTTCGAAATTTGAACTTTCTAGGTCCCAGATCTCTCCAACTGTATCTTGGCTTTCAGATTAACTAGAAATTTGATTTTTTGAAATTTCTGTGGATTTTCTGATTTCTCCCCTATTCAGGAACATTTTGGTACAAAAAAACAGGTTTCTAGCTTGTCTAGAACCCGAGATATTGTCATTTGAAGTTAGGAGGTAAGAGACGCAGACAACGAGACACACTGCGTCTCTAACCTCCAAAACTTCAAATTACTGTATCTCGGCTGCCAAATAACCGATTTCTCTGGTTTTTGAACAGAAATTACTAGAATTTTTCCAGGAATGCACTATCAACAGCTTCTGTGAGAACAAGGTCATGACCAATCGTGAGGAAGCGGCTAAGGCGGACAAGATAAAAAGGAGCGAAGAAGAGTGAATTGGAATAACTAGAATAAAGTTTTGACTAATGAAGTTTTTTTAATTCTGTGATAATTCTGCTGTCTGAGAATATGCGCTCAAAAAACTGCTTGATTGCTTTTTTTGGGATGCTTTTACAATCATTTTGGTCCGAAAACCAGCTTTCTAGCGCTTCTAGGAGCCGAGATATGGCTTCTTGAAGTTTGGGAGGTCAGAGACACAGTGTGTCTCGTAGTCTGCGTCTCTAGCCTCCTAAACTTCAAAACGCTGTGTCTCGGCTCCCAGTGGAGCTAAAGAACTGGTTTTTGGACCAAAATAGAGGACTTGGTCTATATTTTCTTATATACAACAAAATCTAGTGTCATAATTAGATACATTTATTCATACAAAATAATTTCAAAGCAATAATCATCAATAATCGAGTTATAGACTTTAGTTGTGGTCCGAAACATCCATTGCGATTTGCTTGGAACGCACCACTCGCACTGTGACTGGTTGAGGGATTTCCGTGTTGTCATTGATGAAGTTTATGAGTTTTTGTTGAAGTGCTGATTGCAGAACTGAACTTCTTCACATTTTAGGTCATAAAACGCTTCTCCACTCTCCGCATTCTTAGTCTTAATGCACATAGACAAATGTTCCACTTCCGGTATCGTGATTTTGCTGCCATAGGCCCACCATTGATAGTCGGCTCTATCTCCAAACAAATCGCGAAAACAAATGTGTACCCCTTTGATTAATAATTTGTTCTCACAATTTGCATATATCGGGTGTTGACTATTATAAGACATAATAGGTATATTCTTTTCCACAACAGTATCCCATCTTCACCATCATTTCCTTCTGTCTCTTCTAAAATTGATTTGAGCTCTTTTTTTTAAGCTGTGGAGCTTCCAAATTGGTAAGAGCTATCTAGATTACGTCCCGTTGGCGATGGTGAAGCGATTCGTCTGGAAATAATTTTTTTTTTAGGATTAAAAATATATATTAAAAGTCTTACCGTTTTCGTTTTCTCTTTCTGGCTACTCTTTTGGCTACGAAGCAATTTTGAAGACATTGAGATCCCCTTGAATCGACGAAGGGCAATCCGAAGAAAAATATGATAGAGAGAATAATCAGAAGAATCGATAAAAGGTCTAGGATCCCAATCGGGGTTCCATTAGAAATGGCTGGTCTAAACCATTCTAGAATGTTCCGGAGACATCGGATGTTCAATGATTTGGCTGGCGCCTTATATATTGGCTGTGCGGGGGTGGGTGCTCCTGGGAAACATGTGAAGAAGGGCCCTCTAGACATCTCGATTTGTTTATGACACTATAACAAATCTGACATGACACTATAATTACAGTAGTCTTACGACTTCACCTGTCAATCATTTTGGAGTCAAGGAGGGCATGGGATATGACTTCTGGGGTGATTAGTGATGATTTGAAGAGTCAAGAAGAGACACGAAGACATTTAAGGAATTAAAGATCTTACAAGCTTCCGGATCGCGCTTTGAAGTTCAGATGTCTGCGTTTCTCTTGCCCAGCGAGAGACGCAGCGTGTCTCGTTGTCTGCTTCTCTCGCATCCTAAACTTCAAACGGCTGTATCTCGGGTCCCAGACGAGCTAAAGAGTTGGTTTATTGACAGAAGTGGAGGAACTAATGTATATTTTATGAAAATGTATTGCAACATAATAAAACAATATTTATACAGGACTGACTCGAACATTTATGGTAGAGCTGTGAGTTGGTATTGGAGAAGATGTGGAGAAGATTCCAATGATCCTAGCTGAAAATTTTGGTAGTTTTTGGGCTCATTTTGCTTGCTCAGACAGATATTAAACTCACATTTAATAATCCTACTGTACTCGGACACGACCATCATAAAAACAATGGAATCAATGGCAGGATAGACACTGAAAATTTGATTTAATTTGATAACCATCCGGATTTTATAACCATCCGGAAATTTGATAACCATCCGGATTTTAGGCGAATCGGAAAATCGAAAATCGGTGATAAAAGGGGACCAAAAAAGATGGGACCAGCTGGAAGGATGAAAATGAATGTTGGAATTAAAGTTTGAAGAATTAATGCAAGAAATATTTGATTCTGAAGTCGAGAATATGTTGTCGAGTACTCGGAAAGTTTCTTTTTTAATTGAAAATGCATTTTGATTGCAAAAAGTACAATTATCAAATAATGAAAGCCCAGGATAAATACGGCTTGTGCCAGGAAACACAGATTTTTCCAGCGAAGCGATCCATCCAAATTCTGGAATTTTTAGAAACGTCTTTGGGGTTTTTTGATTTTTGTATTTGATTTTTGTAGCCCAAAAGGTTCCATTTTTCCAAAAAGTTTTGAGCATTTAATATTTAAATTTCAGAGTTTTCAAGAAAGTTCTGTTGTTTTCTGAGCTGAAAATCTGCTGAAAATCTTGATTTTTCAGTAATTTCTAAACCTGAAATATGGGTTTTTGAGATTTTTGAAAACTCTTTAATTCTGTCATTTTTTGGCAATATGTATCTGGAAATTTGAAAACTCACATATGAAACTGAGATAAAACGGGGAACATTTGAAATTTCCAGACCGTGACTGGAAAACATTTCCGCTCTGAAAAAAGAGTTTTCTGAAAATGTGATTTTTTGAAAATACTGAATTTCTGGAATTTCTGGAATTTTGAAATTTCTAAAATATTCGAAACTTGGGTTCTAGAATTTTCCAAATTTCAAGTTTTTTAAGCTTTCAAAAATTCGAATTTCAGAATATCCAATAGTTTAAAAAACAATTTTTGAAAAAAAGCACTTTTTGGAAAATTGCAAAAAATAAAAAATTTTAGGTTTTTCAAAAACTGGTATTTTTTAATTCATTTTCATGCACTCTTCTAGCAGAATTTGAATTTTATCGAGTTGATAAAATAAAAAATAAAAAATTTTTTTTAAACTTTGATTTTTCTATAATTTCAGACTTTCCCAGTTTTCATCTTTCTATTTTCAAATTCTTAGAAAATGCTATTTTTCACAAAATCTGCTCATTTTTACACATTTCTGTGTAGTTTTCATCTTTCTAGCTCTTTTAGAAGCCGAGATACAGCTATTTGAAGTTTAAGAGAGACGCAGACAGTTAGAGTGTCTCGTTGTCTGCGTTTCTCACCTTCTAAACTTCAAAAGGCTATATCTCGGCTGCCAGAAGAGCTAAAAGTTCGTTATTTTACAGAAATTTCTGAAATTTTAAGCTCCATCAAATGGATGGTACGCCTTTTAAAAAAATTTCAAAAATATGAAAAAAAATGAAAAAATTTTCAAATTCATAGAAAAGGCTTTTTTCACAAAATCTGTTTATTTTTACACATTTCTGTCTAGTTTTCATCTTTCTAGCTCATGTATTAGCCGAGATACAGCCATTTAAAGTTAAGGAGAGACGCAGATAGTCAGAGTCACAGACGCAGGGTGTCTCGCCGTCTGCGTCTCTCTAAAACTTCAAATAGTCATAACTCTGCTGAGAATTGAGCTAGAAATGTCATTCTTTTTGTGAAATGGATCATTTTTAATTTCTAATCTGACAATCTAGAAATCAAAACCTTGGATTTCCCTAAAAATTAAGAAAAAAGATTCCAACCTCACATAACTATCCGCAAAATCATCCGTTTGACAGAATAAATAAAGCGATATAAAATAAATAAACCAGGGAATCCAAGGATAAATAATCCATATAACAATCCCCTTTCCCTCGAATTTTTTTGATATTTTTGAATGAAAAAGTGCCAAAAACCGGTAGAAAAATTGAATAGCCATTAAAGAAATGATCAATCCAACGAATCCGGCGTAAAAAGCCAGTGTGAACTGCATAAACTTCTGGGATACTGTAGTTCGAAAGCTAAAGAAAACTATCGAACTATTGAAATTGTGCATGAAAGGCTGAGCAATGAGCTCGGAGCCCGAGAAAATTTGTCCGATGAAATTTAAAAATGCGATCATTTTTTTGTAGGTATTATCGATTTTTTTCGTATGGAAGAGTGTCAGGTAGATCAAAAAATTGTTGGTGAAAATCGCTGTGAAGAATGCGATCTTTGAGATGATCAGAGAATATTCGAAGTTTTGCATTTTAGAAAGATTTTCAGATTTTCAGAATGACGAAATAATATATTTCGTTGAATACAATTTTTTAGAAGATACAATTTTTTTTTCTCAACAAAGGAAATGAGAAAATTGTCTGAAAACAAAAAAAACGACAGATTTGACTATAATGAATCTAGAAAAGTCAGAAAATCGTCACTGAAAACCTGAAAATTATAAAATTTCGACTTTCTTTGAAGCTTTAAAGTTATCAAAATTCTTCAACAAATTTTTAAAGAGTTTTCTGAAAATCTGAAAATCTGCAATTTTTGATTTTGGTGACTTTCGGATTAGCAATCAACAATGACACATTTTACAAAAAGAATGAGCTTTCTAGCTCAATTTTCAGCCGAGTTTTGACCATATGAAGTTTTGGAGAGACCCAGATGACGAGACTCTCTAACCTCAATGAGAGACGCAGAGTGTCTAGTTGTCTGCGTCTATAGCCTCCAAAACTTCAAATGGCTGTATCTCGGCTTCTAGATGTGCTATGAAAGTGATTTTTGATGCAAAATGATTCTTAAGAAACTAGAAAAACAGTAATTTTAGAAAAAAAATTAATTATTTTCAAATAATCGAAATTTTCAAAATTTTCTGAAAATCGCTATTTTGTTTGCAAACAAAAAATGAACAAAATTACACACCTTTTACAAAAAGAATGAGCTTTCTAGCTCAATTTTCAGCCGAGTTATGGTCATTTGAAGTTTACGAGAGACGCAGACAACGAGACACTCTAACTTCGTGAGAGACGCAGAGTGTCTCGTTGTCTGCGTCTCTAGCCTCTAAAACTTCAAATGGCTGTATCTCGGCTTCTGGATATGCTAGAAAGATAATTTTTGGACAGTTTTGGAGCTCTAGACCTATTTTTTTTTTCGGAAATTCAAAAATAACAAAAAAGTTAAGCAAATTTATTTCGAAATCTTCAGAAAAATGATCACAACACTTGTCTCGATCTAACATCAATAGTGAAACTTTGCGCTGAAAACTGTACATTCGGTTTGAAAACGCCCACCACTCGATCTGAAATTGTTCAGAGGATTACCGTAGTTTCGGCTACACAGTTTGTTTTTACTTGTAGCACTCCTCTTGTATTCCTTCACAACCACCATAAAAACAATGGAATCAATGGCAGGATAGACACTGAAAATCGAGCATAACCATCCGGATTTTAGGCGAATCGGAAAATCGAAAATCGGTGATAAAAGGGGACCAAAAAAGATGGGACCAGCTGGAAGGATGAAAATGAATGTTGGAATTAAAGTTTGAAGAATTAATGCAAGAAATATTTGATTTTGAAGTCGAGAATATGTTGTCGAGTACTCGGAAAGTTTCTTTTTTAATTGAAAATGCATTTTGATTGCAAAAAGTACAATTATCAAATAATGAAAGCCCAGGATAAATACGGCTTGTGCCAGGAAACACAGATTTTTCCAGCGAATCGATCCATCCAAATTCTGGAATTCTCTAAGAATGACAACCTGCTGAACATTTGTATTTTTCTATATTCTCTAGCCTTTCTGGCAATCAGGAGGACTTTTGTCCCGAAAGTTTCTGTTAGAATTTCAACTCACATATGAAAGAATAACAAATCGAGGAACCGTGGAAACGTCCAAGCCATAGCTGAACTGGAATTCGGTCCTGAAAAAGAGAAGTTTTCAAAAATCTTCTGAAAATACTCAAAATTCGCTAAAAATCTATTTAAAAAACAACGTTTCTAGCTCTTCTAGAAGCCGAGATACAGCCACTTGAAGTTTAGGAGAGACGCATACAGTTAGAGTGTCTCGTTGTCTGCGTATCTCGGGTTCTAAAAATGCTAGAAGATTTGTTTTTTTACAAAAAACTTTGAAATTTTAAGCTCCATTGAATGGTACACCTTTTTTTAAATGTTGGAAAATATGACAAAATCAAAAAATTTACAAACTCTTAGAAAAAGCTTTTTTTCACAAAACCTGCTTATTTTACACATTTCTGTCTAGTTTTCATCTTTCTAGCTCATCTAGGAGCCGAACTATGGTCATTTGAAGTTTAGGAGAGACGCAGACAGTCAGAGCGTCTCGCTGTCTGTATCTCTCACCGTCTAAACGTCAAAAGGCTATATCTCGGGTTCTAGAAATGCTAGAAGTTTCGTTTTTTAACAAAAATTTCTGAAATTTTTAGTTTCATCAAATGGCATGCATTTTTAAAAAATGTTAGAAAATATGAAAAAATCAAAGAATTTTCAAATTCTTAGATTCATAGAAAAGGCTTTTTTCACAAAATCTGTTTATTTTTACACATTTCTGTCTAGTTTTCATCTTTTTAGCTCTTCTAGAAGCCGAGATACAGCTATTTGAAGTTTAGGAGAGACGCAGACAGTTAGAGTCAGAGACGCAGGGTGTCTCGCCGTCTGCGTCTCTCTAAAATTTCAAATGGCCATAACTCTGCTGAGAATTGTGCTAGAAAAGTCATTCTTTTTGCGAAATGTGTCATTTCTCATTTGTCATTCAATTTGAAAATCTAAAAATCTCGTCATTCAATTTGAAAATCTAAAAATCCAAAACCTTGGATTTCCCTAAAAATTAAGAAAAAAGATTCCAACCTCAAATAACTATCCGCATAATGATCGGGTAAGCAGAACAAATAAAACGAGGAATAATACAGTATTCCCGGAATCGCCGGGTACAGTATCCACAGTAGTCCCGATCCCTGCTCATACTTTTTCGAGTGTTCGGCTCGGCAACTAACCAAATATCGATACACAAATTGCGCGGCCATCAACGCCATCAACGCTTCACTCATGCCGGCGTAAAAGGCAATCGAGAATTGGAAGAATTTCTGGGATACTGTAGTTCGGAGACTAAAGAACACCATGGACTCATTGAAGTTGTGCATGAACGGTTTCGCAATCAATTCCCAACCGGAGAACAGAATTCCCAGCATTGCATAGAACGACACCATCGTTTTATAGATGGCATCGATTTTTCGGACGTGGCACAAAGTGATGTAGATCAAAAACGAGTTGGCGAAGACTGCCAAAAAGAAGCCGAATTTAGTGATGAGAAATGAGATCTCGTAGGATTGCATTTTATCGATTTTTGATGGAAGGGAAGCTTGTGACAGGCACAAAATGAAGGTTCTGCTGAAAACTAGAAAAACATTTTGGTGCGGAAATTAGTCTGTAGTAGTTGATGACTTCCTGTCTAGAATAGGGTCAGATGACGTCCCTAGAAATGGGAGAAAAAAAACAAGTATGACTTCTGGGTAATGGTGATTAATATGATATCCGGCCTAGGAGATGTTTTCTGAAGATGATCAATGAGATTCGGACTAAGCTGAAAACACCGAAAATTACACATTTCGGTGAAAATTTGAGGTTTCTAGCTTCGTTTTGAGCCGAGATATACTAGTTGAGAAGAGACGCAGACAACGAGACACTCTAACTGTCTGCGTCTTCGCTCTGGCGACACCAAAAGCTAGAGTGTCTCGTCGTCTGCGTCTCTCACCTTAAAAGTTTGAAATGGCTGTATCTCGGCTCCTAGAAGACCTAGAAGGTTGGAATTTGGACAGAAATGAGGGAAATTAAATTTCCTCTATAAATTTTATGAATTTGTGGAAAAAGATTTTTCAAAAATGTGAAAAATTCAAAAACGAGTTTCCAGGTACGTTCAGTTTTTAGATTTAGAAAATATATAAATCAAAATAAACATTTTGGTCCAAAAACCACATTTCTAGCTCATCTAGAAGATGATATATATGGTTCCGAAATTTCGACGGTGAGAGACGCAGACAACGAGACACTCTAACCGTCTGCGTCTTCTCTCTGGCGACACCAAAAGCTAGAGTGTCTCGTCGTCTGCGACTCTTCAAAACGTCAAATGGCTATATCTCAGCTCCCAAATGAGCAGGAAATGTGAAAATTAGACGGAATTGTGTGAAAATTAGCGGTTTTTTTTTTGAAAAATAATGTTTTCTGAAAATTTGAAAATTTTCGATTTTTCTATTTTTGTCATATTCCCCAAAATTCTCAAAAAAAAATTATACCATTACATAAAGCTTAATATTTCAACAATTTCTGTGAAAAAAAAGGGTCTTCTAGCCCTTCTGTAAGCCGAGATACGGTCATTTGAAGTTTTGAAGAGACGCAGACAACGAGACACTCTAACCGTCTGCGTCTTCTCTCTGGCGACACCAAAAGCTAGAGTGTCTCGTCGTCTGCGTCTCTCACTTTAAAAGTTTAAAATGGCTGTTTCTCGGGTCCTAGAAGACCTAGAAGGTTGGAATTCGGACAGAAATGAGGGAAATTAAATTTTCTCTATAAATTTCATTAATTTGTGGAAAAAGATTTTTCAAAAATGTGAAAAATTCAAAAACGAGTTTCCAGGTACGTTCAGTTTTTAGATTTAGAAAATATATTGTTGCAGACTATGCAAACCTTCATTAGTTTTATAAGTTTAATATCCGCCTTAGTTTGATCTACCCAAAGTAGGCGCGCGCAATAACCACTGTTTGTGCTAATTGTCATCACGCGCGTAACTATTTGTTCCCTTGGTCAGAACTCCTAGATAAAGGGGCTGATCATTCTGATACTCTCTCTCTCCTGCCCCAAAGTATTCTGTTGTCCCCTATTCACTGAATAAAGTCCTTATTCATCTACTACTCACATACTGTCTGGCTGGTGGTTCACACAATGCCGCCACCAGGAGACACAACAACTGGCGATCAGGCTACGGAATTGGCGGATCTCACGAAACAAATCGGTTTGCTAGTCAACGTCTTCGCAAAACTCGCTCAAGCACCGGCAAACGCTCCGTTGACAACTACACCCACCAGTGGACACAATCTTCTAGTGGAATCGATATCAAAACGGATTCCAATCTTCACCTATGATCCAGACGACGACCAAACCTTCGACACGTGGTACGCTCGATATGAGGATGTCCTGACTAAGGATGGTGAATCTCTAGAAGAAGGTGAGAAATCAAGGGTAATTCTGTCCAAACTTAGCTCGAAAGAGTACTCTCACTTCACAAATCGTATCCTACCGAAACTCCCGAACGAGCTCAACTTTGCGGAGCTCATCAGCAAACTTCGAGAGACATTCAAATCGACATCATCGATTTTCCGGAAACGCCAAGATTTCCTCCGCACGGAATATTTTGGAGGAGCAATTGAGGAGTATACTGGACAGGTCCTCAGAAAATTCACATCCTCCGAATTCAAGAAGATGACTGATGATCAAGTATGCTGTATGGTCTGGATAAATGGATTACGAGATAACATTTACTCCGACATCCGAACAAAGGCTCTCCAAGTTATGGAAGCAAAACCAGAATGTACACTGTTAGAATTGGAGCAGAATATCAAACGGCTTCTGGATGTGCGAACTGACTCCAAAAGCGTATGCAAACTGGAACCAAAGGCATCAGAGATCAACGCCATAAGCACAAAGGAAACCAAGAGGGATAAACCGCAGAAGGCTCCACCGTCACCATGCTACAAATGCGGCGGTAATCACTGGGCAAAGGAGTGCCAAAAGCAGGTCACATGTCATCTATGTAAAAAAGATGGTCATATCGCAAAATTTTGCAGAACCAAAAAGCGAGAAACAGATCAAAAAGGCAAAAACAACAGGATCAAGTCGGTGATGGTTAGAAGCGCATCCACTTTCGAACCATCTCGTATCTACCGTATCGTCACAATCAATGGAACAAAAATCCAGATGCAGATGGATACGGGAGCCGACGTCACTTTGATCAGTACAAAAGATTGGAATCGACTGGGTCGCCCTCAACTACAAGCACCCACAATCCAAGTCAAATCAGCAAATCATCAACCGATAAAGGTCAGAGGATCTTTCCAATGCAATTTCGTCATAAACGGAAACGTTGCTTCGGGACAAGCACATGTCGCCGAAACGGGTACACTCCTCGGAACCGACTGGATCTCCAAGGATCCTACGCTCTGGAAAACCCTAAATCAACAAATCTGCGCAGTAAGTTCCGATGTTGGATCAGCATGCGACTACCTGGACAACACCCGCGAACAACTGAAGTCAAATTTGGAAAAGGAATTCAACAATGTCTTCCAACCAGGGCTCGGTAAATGTACCAAAACTAAAGCTTCTATTCTGCTGAAACCAGGGGCACAACCAGTGTTCCGTAAAGCACGACCAGTCCCATTCGCAGCATTGACCACAGTATCAGAGGAGTTGGAACGTCTACAGCAGTCAGGTGTTATCTCTCCAGTGGATCATTCGGAATGGGCAGCGCCGATAGTTCTTGTCAAAAAGAAGAATGAATCGATTCGGATGTGCTCAGATTTCTCTACCGGGCTCAACGATTCAATCCAACAGCATCAGCATCCCTTGCCAACTGCAGACGACATATTCGCTACTTTAAACGGTGGGAAGTATTTTTCTCAAATAGATTTGGCCGAAGCCTATTTACAGATTGAAATCGACGAACAAGCCAAACAGATGCTCTGTATCAATACACATCGAGGCTTGTTCAGCTACAATCGACAGCCATTCGGGGTCAAATCTGCTCCAGGATGTTTTCAACAAGTCATGGATGCAATGATCACTGGACTGGACGGAGCCGCGGCCTACCTTGATGACATCATCATAACCGGGTCGACAATCGAAGAGCACAATTCACGACTGAAATCAGTGTTCAAGCGAATCGACGACTATGGATTCCGCGTCAAACTGGAAAAATGCACATTCCTAATGCCGAGAATCACATTCCTCGGATTCTGCATCGACAAAGATGGCAGACGACCGGATCCCGAAAAGGTGACTGCGATTCAGCAGATGCCTGAACCGAAAAACGACAGTCAAGTCCGCTCATTTCTAGGACTCATACAGTTCTACGGCACCTTCATTAAGGAATTATTCAAATTCCGTCCACCACTGGATGCATTAACTAAGAAGGATGCTGAATTCAAATGGACTTCTGAATGCCAATCATCGTTTGACAACATTAAACAAATGCTCCAATCGGATCTTCTTCTCACACACTACGATCCGAAACTGCCAATAATAGTCGCTGCCGACGCTTGTCAATATGGGATCGGAGCAGTGATCTCTCATCGTTTTCCAAATGGGTCTGAAAAAGCCATATACCACATCAGTAAGGCTCTCACTGCACCACAGCGCAACTACAGTCAAATCGAAAAAGAAGCATTTGGACTCATCACGGCCGTCACGAAGTTCCACAAGTTTATTCATGGTCGACATTTCACACTGAAAACGGACCACAAGCCGCTCCTTTCGATCTACGGAGAGAAAAAAGGTATTCCTATTTACAGTGCAAATAGACTCCAACGTTGGGCCACAATCTTGCTCAATTACGACTTCACCATCGAGTACGTCAATACTCACGACTTTGGACAAGCTGATGCCCTCTCAAGACTCATTTCCGAACAAATCCAACAGAAGGAATGTGAAGATCGAGTCATTGCCCAAGTCGAAATGGACGTGATTACAAATCTAGTCAACACGTGTGAACAATTGCCGGTGACAGCTGAAATGGTCAAAGACTATTCCAAAAAGGATACACTTTTGGCAGAAGTGTACGAGTACACAACCTCAGGTTCGTGGCCAAATAATATTGATAAAAGCTCACAAATCGTTTTTTTTCACAACCGACGAGATCAACTATCCATCGTATCTGACTGTCTGATGTTCAACGATCGAATCGTCATCCCAGTATCACTCAGAGCCCGTGTGCTCAAAATGCTCCATCGTGCTCACACTGGAATGGTGAGAATGAAACAGTTGGCTCGAACTCTTGTTTACTGGCCGTCAATCGACAAAGACATTGAGAACATCGTCAGAAGCTGTGATCAGTGTGCGGCAGTGTCGAAGAATCCCATCAAGAACACTTTATGCTCTTGGCCTATTTCCACAAAGCCATGGCAACGTGTACACGTGGATTACGCCGGACCTGTCGAAGGAACCTATTATCTAGTAGTTGTTGATTCCTTCTCAAAATGGCCAGAAATTGTTCCAACCACATCCATTACATCAGCGGCAACCATCAACATTTTGCGAAAGATGTTTGCACAGTTCGGAGATCCGGAGACACTGGTGACCGATAATGGAACACAATTCACATCTGCTCAATTCCACGACTTCTGCAAAGACCGAGGAATCCAACACACTCGGTCCCCGCCATTCCATCCACAATCAAATGGACAGGCAGAACGTTTTGTGGATACCTTAAAAGGGCATTAGGCAAGTTAAAGGGGGAGGGAAATACAGATGCTTCCTTGTATCTTTTCCTTCAGAGCTATCGCTCTTCGCCTTGTACCGCCAGTCCAAATGGCTCATCACCCGCTGAGAACTTCATTGGCCAGAAGATCCGTACATTCCTGGATCAACTTCTCCCAACCGACCAACTTCCCCACTCGCACGACACAGAGATGGAGAAGCAGTTCAACAACCAGCATGGTGCACATTGTCGCAACTTCAACGTGGGAGATAAGGTTTATGTTAAAGACTACCGTAGCATAAATACTACCACTTGGATTCCAGGAACTATTCAACGTCGGATTGGGCGTACAATGTACCGCGTCACTGTGGAAAACAACAACTTCTGGATTAGACACACCAATCAACTGCGCCGTCGTGACACTCCAACTTCGTTCGATGTTCCACTCGACACTATGGACACAATGGACGCTATCGAGTGGACACCGTTGTCAACAACCTTGCCCGACCGTTCACCACCGACTCCAACGCCAATATTTCCTGGAAGTCCCACAGCACCATCTCCAAAACCCATCCGGAAATCTACACGTACCGTCAAACCACCACCAAAGTTCGTCATGAAGCCGAATAAGACATCGTATCATTAATCTAGGAATGCCCCAAACTTTAGTTTAAGAATTGTTAGTATTTCTAGGATCTCTTTTAGTCTAGTTCATTCTTTGTATGTTCATCATAGTTAAAAGGGGAGGTGTTGCAGACTATGCAAACCTTCATTAGTTTTATAAGTTTAATATCCGCCTTAGTTTGATCTACCCAAAGTAGGCGCGCGCAATAACCACTGTTTGTGCTAATTGTCATCACGCGCGTAACTATTTGTTCCCTTGGTCAGAACTTCTAGATAAAGGGGCTGATCATTCTGATACTCTCTCTCTCCTGCCCCAAAGTATTCTGTTGTCCCCTATTCACTGAATAAAGTCCTTATTCATCTACTACTCACATACTGTCTGGCTGGTGGTTCACACAATGCCGCCACCAGGAGACACAACATATATAAATTAAAATAAACATTTTGGTCTAAAAAACACATTTCTAGCTCATCTAGAAGCTGAGATACATGGTTTCAAAATTTTGACGGTGAGAGACGCAGACAACGAGACATTCTAACTGTCTGCGTCTTTCTGGCGGCAAAAGGCTGTATCTCGGGTTCTAGAAATGCTAGAAGGTTAATTATTTTACTGAAATTTCTGAAATTTTAATTATCAAATGGTACGCCTTTTTGAAAAAACTTCAAGAATATGAAAAAATCAAAAGATGTCCAAATTCTTAGAAAAATCTATTTTTCACAAAATGTGCTCATTTTTACACATTTCTGTCTAGTTTTCATCTTTCTAGCTCATCTAGAAGCCGAGATACAGCCATTTGAAGTTTAGGAGAGACGCAGACAGTTAGAGTCAGAGACGCATGCTGTCTCGCCGTCTGCGTCTCTCTAAAACTTCAAATGGCTATAACTTTGATGAAAATTGCGCTAGAAATTTCAAACTTTTTGTGAAATGTCCCTTTTTCGATTTCTAATATCTGAAAGTATAAAAATCTAAAATTTCATATTTTCGAATTCCAGAAAAAGAATCCATGCAACATTGATCAATGGAATATCAAATTTCAGTTCCTTTCATCTGGTTTTTTATGGGAATTGTGTTTTTTGTTTCTAGCGAATTTTGGGGATTATGCAAAATTCATTCAAATTTTGAAAAGAAAAAACATTTGACATTTTCGCCGCCCTATATAATAGATCTGAAAATTTCCAGACAAATACTGGAAACTATGAAATTCCAATTTTTCTTGGTAAGACTTATTTTGTTTCAAAAATCAGAATTGTTCGAAAAAGTACTGTTTCAGATCCTTCTGATCCTTCTGGTGGCGTACTGTACGTCTCAAGGAATCTCATGTACATCGGCAATAGGATGTCCAAGTGCCAGATATGCCTGTGTAAATGGCCGATGCATTTGGTTGGCTCCAGGGAAATGATTTTTGGATATTTGCTTGATTTTTTTTTTTGAATAAAGAAGTTTCGTATTGGTGACCTTCTAGCTTTTTCGGAAGTAGTGGCCGTGTAGCTCTATGAGAGTCTAGATTTGAAAAATTCTCAGAATAAATCCAAAAGCTAATGCTCAATAATCTTCATTCAAAAATCCCAAAATGGACATGTTCAAAGACCAACACACTCTCCAAAAACGCAAATTTGGAATGTTCCACATTGGCTGTCCCTCGAACATCCTCTGAGCCCTTGGAATTTTCTCCGACCATCCACACATTGTCCCCAGAGGCATGCGAGATGAGGTGGACATTCTGGATCACAGTGTTGAGGATCATCGAGATGAGCAATTGGACGACGAACCACAAGGCACTGCCCTTCGACACATGAATGACCAGAGAATGGACAATCCGAGTCGATGAAGCAGTCGATGGACTCGAAGCAGTTGATGGGAGAGATGGTGAGGAGGAAGAGGAATCACTGAAAAATTAGAATCTTTGGGATTCCAGGTAGTGGAGGAGGGTAGTATAGGAAGACGCTAACTAAAAATTTGAAGCGCTGTATCTCGGCTCCCAGATGAGCAGAGACATGGAACTTTTTGAGATATGTTTAGTTTTTGGCGACTTTTCAGAAAATTTGGAAAACAAATCTAAAATGTGATGAACGCATTGCTATTTTTCTATTTTTCAGAATTTGAACCTTTACATCCAAAAATACATCTGAAATGCATTGATTTTGTTAAAAAATCACATTTCTAGGCCTTCTAGAACCCGAGGTACAGTCATTTGAAGTTTAGGATGTGAGAGACGCAGACAGCGAGGCACTCTAACGGTCTGCGCCTCTTTTGTGCCCACTCAGACGCAGCGTGTCTTGTTGTCTGCGTCTCTACGAAATTTCAAATGACTGTATCTCGGCTTCTAGATGAGCTAGAAAGATAAAAATTAGACAGAAATGTGTAAAAATAAGCAGATTTTGTGAAAAATAGCTTTTTTCTAAAAATTTGGACATTTTTTGATTATTCATGTTTTCCAATATTTTTTAAAAAGACATACCATTCAATGAAATTCAAAACTTCAAACTTTTCTGTAAAAAAACGAACTTTATAGTTCTCAGACCATTTTCTGATTTTTGATTTCAAATTTCAAATTTCTGTAATCGAATTTCTGAGTGGTCTTGAAATTCCCATTTTTGGTTTCTTGGCCATAGAACCAAAAATTTAAATTCTCTGTTTTCCACTTCTATCTATCTAATTCTCATTTTTCTTGTGACGGATACAGTAATCAACACCAACCAGTTCTCTAGAACACCTCGCTTGTTTCTTTTCTCCGTTCCATCTCCGAAAATTGGCAACGGTTGTTTACGTCTTCTTCTTTTCTTATTCCAACGAACGTCTTCTTTTTTCTCGCTTTACGTAATAAATAATTTCTTCTCACACCTATACATATGTATGTTATAATTGCCCGTGAAGGAGAAAACATTCTCGATTCTTTATGACCAGTCATTGCCATCTAGAATTATATATTTTTTGGCAAATTTGAGATGACCGTAATCTAGAAAAAATTTCATCGATTTTGTCGGAAATACCAGCTTTCTAGGTCATCTACAAGCGGAGATAAAGCCATTTTAAGTTCTGGTTGCGAGAGACGCCGACGACGAGACACTCTAACTGTCTGCGTCTCTTTAACTGTGTGCGTCGAAATTCCGAAATTCAGAACTTCAGAAATTCAGAACTTCAGAAATTCAGAACTTCAGAAATTCAGAAATTCAGAAATTCAGAAATTCAGAAATTCAGAAATTCAGAAATTCAGAAATTCAGAAATTCAGAAATTCAGAAATTCAGAAATTCAGAAATTCAGAAATTCAGAAATTCAGAAATTCAGAAATTCAGAAATTCAGAAATTCAAAAATTCAGAAATTCAAAAATTCAGAAATTCAGAAATTCAGAAATTCAGAAATTCAGAAATTCAGAAATTCAGAAATTCAGAAATTCAGAAATTCAGAAATTCAGAAATTCAGAAATTCAGAAATTCAGAAATTCAGAAATTCAGAAATTCAGAAATTCAGAAATTCAGAAATTCAGAAATTCAGAAATTCAGAAATTCAGAAATTCAAGAATTCCTGGAAAAATGAAACAATTAGTCATGTTCCACTTGTCTTATCACCTAATCCATCTTTCTTCCTTATCGTTATCATATCATGTCGCCATCATCAAAAATCAAGAAATCGGATGTATCGCTTCTGTGACAGATTCCCCGATTTGTTTTTTTTTCGAAAAAAAAGTTCCCGAGAAAAAGGAACCGCTTTTTTGGGATTCATCGTTGCAATTTCATTTCCTTTTCTCCTTTTGTAATTTTCTGATTTCTCGAATCTTCTTCATCATTCTTATCATTTAGCTTCAAAAACCATTTTTCTAACTGTTCTAGGAGCCGAGATATAGCTGTTTGAAGTGGAGGAGGCTAGAGACGCCAGACGACGAGACACACTGCGTCTCTAACCTCGGAAACTTCAAATCTCTGTATCTCGGGTTCTAAAAGCGCCAGAAACGAGGTTTTTAGATTAAACCGATCCTCGAAACTTCGAAAATATTTTGAAAAAAAGAAAATGTAGATTTTCATAAATTACAATATCCGAAATCCTCGAAATTCGGATAGTTTGAAGCGAATTCAGAAATAGAGAGTTTCTGAATCAATTTACTCCAAAATTCCCTTTTCTAGCTCTTCTGGGAGCCGAGATACAGCTAGTCAAAGTTTAGAACAGACGCAGACACTTACATTGTCTAGCTGTTTGCGTCTCTCTCCTCTCAAACTTCAAATGACTGTATATCGGGTTCTAGGAATGCTAGAAAAGTGATTTTTTGCTGGAAATGCTTGATTTTTCCGGTATTTTCTAGAATTATTAAATTTTTCTAGTCCTTTTTCTAGTTTTTCGAGAATTTCTGAATTTTTAAAATTTTTCAATTTTAATGGGAACTTCGGATTTTTGAGCTTTCCAGGTGTTTTAAATTTCTATCTTTCAGAATTTACCGAATTTCTAGATTTCGGAGTTTCTGAATTTCTGAATTTCTGAATTTCTGAATTTCTGAATTTTTGAATTTCAAAAAAATTTTCGAAATTTTCGAAATTTTTAGGATTTTTGAACACGTTTGGACTACTCAGAATTTTTCGAAATTTTCGGATTTGCCGAATTTTCAATTTTTTCCGACTTCGGAATTTCAGAATTTGCTAAAATTATCAAATTATCGAAATTTGGGATTTTCACATTTTTTTATTTTTCTGAATTTCTGAATTTTTGAATTTCTGAATTACTGAATTTCTGTATATTCCAAATTTCTGAATTTCTGAATTTTTGAATTTCTGAATTTCTGTATATCCCAAATTTTTAGCTTCTATATTTTTCCCCAATCACTCATTCATCTTAATGGCTAATAGATAAGAGACAACCCAAAAAATCTAGCTAATCCGATATTCTCGAACAGGTCCTCCTTCCGAGAGAACCCTTCCTTATCACCTCGCAATCAGTTTCTCTCTCTCTCTTTCTCAATACCTCTCTCAGTAGCTTTCTCGGTAGCTGTTACTTTCTTTCTCTCTCTCACTCTCTCTCTTCCTTAATAGCTTTCTCAATATCTATCTCGCGGAAGAGAGAGAGAGAGAGAGAGAGAGAGAGAGAGAGAGAGAGAGAGAGAGAGAGAGAGAGAGAGAGAGAGAGAGAGAGAGAGAGAGAGAGAAGCTACGCGGTTTTGGCTTAATTGCGTCGTTCTCGGTCTCGAAACGAAATAATCATTTTCAAAAAAAAAGATGGGGGAGGATACGGCGGTTTCTAACGGCGAGGAGACACTAGGAAACTGGTCTTAATGTGTTCATCATGTCGGAAAAAAGGAGAAGGACAATTTCTGCCGAAAAAGAAGAAGAATAAGGGGATAAGGGCGAACGACCTGGCTTCTTTTCCTGCTTTTTGGATAACGATGATGGCTTTTATATGGAAGAGAACAACGGTTTTGTATAGGAAAATAGATTTTGCAGTCAATTTTGAAGATTATTTTGGTTTTTCATCTTGATTTTTAAAATTGAGGTCTTTTTGGAAATTTGAAATTTTCAAAATTTTCGAAATTTTCGAAATTTTCGGATTTGCCGAATTTTCAAGTTTTTCAGACTTCAGAATTTCAGAATTTGCTAAAATTATCAAATTATCGAAATTTGGGATTTTCACATTTTTTTATTTTTCTGAATTTCTGAATTTCTGAGTTTCTGAAGTCCTGAATTTCTGAATTTCTGAATTTCTGAATTTCTGAATTTTTGAATTTCTGAACTTCTGAATTTCTGAATTTCTGAATTTCTGAATTTCTGAATTTCTGAATTTCTGAATTTCTGAATTTCTTAATTTCTGAATTTCTGAATTTCTGAATTTCTGAATTTCTGAATTTCTGAATCTCTGAACTTCTGAACTTCTGAATTTCTGAATTTCTGAATTTCTGAATTTCTTTATTTCTGAATTTCTGAACTTCTGAATTTCTGAATTTCTGAATTTCTGAATTTCTGAATTTCTGAATTTCTGAATTTCTGAATTTCTGAATTACTGAATTTCTGTATATTCCAAATTTCTGAATTTCTGAATTTTTGAATTTCTGAATTTCTGAATTTCTGAATTTTTTTGGATATCCAAATTAATTGAAATTACTGTAATTTTTTTTCAAAAATTTCAAAGTTTCAAAAAACTCATATAGAATCTTATACCGACCCATACCTTGGTTTTTTGTCCATAGCTTTCTTTCTAATAATTCGACAGTTATGTAATTTATACTATCTTGTAGCCCTTGAAAAGTTCTATCCAACACAATTTAAAACTTTTCAAAATATTGATTTTCAAAAAAGTTATGAACCCGGCAAATCTAAATCAGCTGCTTTATCATGTTCCACCATCCTGACCAACAGAAAACTTTCCTTTTTTTGTCTTCTAGAATTTTTCTTCATTCCATCTTCTGATCCATTTTATCACGCCTATTTGGTTTGCTACATATCACTACTTCCTATAGTACCAGTTTCCGTTATTTGTAGCTACAGTAATCTTACAGCCCAAAAAACAAATTTTCAGATCACAAAATGAAAACTCTAATATTTTTTCTAATTGAAATAATTCTATCAGTCAAAAGCAGTGATATTGATGCAAAAAACATCTTCAAAGGGCTCTACGAGACGTCTGGATTCCATTGTTACAGTCGGTGAGTGTTGCAAATGCGCTCTATTGATAAAAAAGTTCAAATCGCTATAACTTAACTAGTTTTGATCCGACTTTCATGAAAATTTGACCAAAAAGCTGGAAATTTTACAAGCTTCAATTTAAAATATATTTCAGTTCAGCTTTCATAACTTCATTTGTCGCAAATGCGCTCTAATGAGAATCTAGAGAGAAAATAGTTGAAATTGCTATGACTTTGCTAGTTTCATCCAATTTTTACGAAATTTTGACTAAAATGCTGGACATTTTATACGCTTCAATTTCATATGTTACTCAATATGTTTTTCCAAATTTCTTCAGTTGCAAACGCGCCCCATTGACAATCTCACCAGCTTGAACTTTAAACGACTATAACTCCGTCAATTTTTATCTGATTTTTATGAAAAATATACGAAAATGTGGGAAATTGAACAATCTTTAATTTGAGCTTTTCTTCAACAAAGTGTTTGTAAACTTAAATGTTGCAATTGCGCTCTATTGTCAATTTTCCCCACTTACCACTTCAAACCTTCATAACTCATTCAGTTTTCAGCCAATTTTAAAGATTTTTCTATCAAAATGTGCCAAATTTTACAACAATTTTATTTTTCAACATAATTTTTCAAAATTCAGAGATTCTATGCGGCTGCCACGTCATCTGCACGGACGTCCTCAAACCACCGATCCTCCATTCGACCTGTCCGTTTTTGATTCGTCCGGAAAGCGTGTAGAGAGTTATGAAGTTGGAAAGGTTTATACAGGTACGGGTACTAGCTTTTTCTGGCTTAGTTTTTTCTAGGTCATGGTCTAGCTTTTCCTAGGCCACCTCTCGTTTTTTTCAGTCAAACTCGAAGCCTATGTGCATTTCCGAGGGCTATTGCTCCAGCCAAGACTTTGTACACCGAACGGAGCAATAATTGGAACTTTGAGAGGCGGAAAATTCATAGAGGATGAGCAGTTTGAGACTCACGGTAAGATTTTTGACCTAATTTCTTAAATTCGGACCCTATTATCAATAGAACGAACTTGCAGGCTTGATGTTTCATCAATGTGGACGTCTAGTGACCAACGACTCGTTGACCCATACTTCAGATGACAAAAAATTCCTGACCGAAGCGAAATGGCACGCTCAACATGATGTGGGAAATGTTCAGTTTGTGTAGGTTGTCTCTCTTTCCTCTCTGCGCCCTCTCGCCCCGCCGACAACTTTATGTACGCACTCTTGACCCAGTATTCGATGTGGAGAGATGGCCGAGCGGTCCAAGGCGCTGGTTTAAGGCACCAGTCCCTTCGGGGGCGTGGGTTCGAATCCCACTCTCTTCAGTTCCTTTTTTCGTTTTCCGATCGAAAATATAACGAGTTGGGAACTATTTTTGTGGAAAAAAACAAGTTTCCAGATTTTCAGTCTTTTTTTCCAAGAACTGATTGAAAACGAACAGATTTGGACCTCTGAGAAGCATCCATTTGAAGTTTAAGAGGCTAGAGACGCAGCGTGTCTCGTCGTCTGCGTCTCTAGCCTCCAAAAAGTTCGAATCGCTCTATCTCTGCTGATATTTGAGCTAGAAAATTGGTTATTTTATTCAAATGTAGGAAATTCTGTGAATTTTTGAAAAAAAATATATGTTTGGAAAACTTAAAAAGTTTCAGAAAACTCAACTTATTTTCGATTACTTCTGAAAAAGCTTATTTTTAAAAATATAATTTTTTTTTGGATCCTGCGGATCATTTTGGTGGTAAAATCACATTTCTAGGACTTCTGGAAGCCGAGATACGCTCTTCTGAAGTTTTGAAGGTGAGAGACGCAGACAACGAGACACTCTAACTGTCTGCGTCTCTCCAAAATTTTAAACAGCTATATCTCAGCTGTTAGAAGGGCTAGAACAATGAAAATTGAACAGAATTATGTAAAAACAAGCAAATTTTGTAAAAATTGCGTTTTCTAAGAATTTGAATTTTTTTATTTTTTTCAAAATTTCGAAAACCTTTTAAAAATGCATATTATATGATGAAACTAGATATTCCGAAAATTCCTGTTAAAGAACGAACCTTCTAGCTCTTCTAGAAGCCAAGATATTGTTATTTTTTGTTTCGGAGGTGAGAAACGCAGACAACGAGACACTCTGACTGTCTGCGTCTCTTCTAAACTTTGAACGGCTATATCTCAGCGGCTAGATAAGATAGAAAGGTCAAACTTTTTGCAAGATGTGTTAAATGTTTCGTATTTTCAAATTTCATTTTTCCAGAGCCACGATAGCTACCGAAAATGTGCTCTACTGGGAGAAATGGCGTCCAAAACATGCATTCTTGAAGGGTCCATATCAAAAGTGGTCCCATCAAAATCCCAACATTTTCGTCTACAATTTGGAGAAGGAAATGGAGCAAAAGAACACTGAAAAAGTGGTCACATCGGAGCCAATCACCCCATCTCAACATCCACTATTCGAAGAGCAAAAAGAGTTTTTAAAAGGCAAAATGGGTACTACAGTAGGCACTACCGTAGTCCCTGCGTCGCTAACCGAGACATCTGAAAATTCGGATGACGTTTTTGATTTCGACGGATTGGCATTTGAAATTACTGGAAATCCGGGACCAGTGAAGTTTGATAAAATCCAGGTCACTGCTGCGAGTATGATGCTTGCAGAGAAGACCGACGTCACGAAGACCCCAGAAATTTCGGTAGATCGAATTTTGAAACAAAAAATCGATAATCCAAATTTCCAGCACTCCTCAAAATTCCTAGTAGAAAAACCAACGGAATCGAGTTTTATGATGGGGCGAATGTTCAAAAAGTTCGCGCCGCTCAATGATACCGTACTCCTGGAGGATGATTTGAAGTTTTTGAACGCGCACGCACACCATAGAAGACTACAACACGATTTTGTGGATAACAATGATTTGGAGATGGAGGGTGAGTTTTATTTTTCTGATAGAACTCAAAAAAACTAAACATTTTAAAAAAGGTTTGAGGCTTCTAGCTTAATTTTGAGCCGAGATATGATCATTTGAAGATTTGGAGGCTAGAGACGCAGTGTGTCTCGTCGTCTGGCGTCTTTCGCATTCAAAACTTCAAATAGCTATATCTCGGCTTTTAGATGAGCTAGGATGATGAGAATTTGACTGAATACTGTGAAACCAAGCCGGGTTTTTGAAAAATAGAGTTTCCTATGGATTTGGAAAAAAATTGATTCTGAAATATTTTCAAAACCTTCTCATAAAGTTACATAATTTGATAAAACTAAAAATTTAGCAAAATTCTGTAAAAAACGGACCTTCTAGCTCGTCAGGAAGCCGAGATAAAACGATTTGAAGTTTTGGAGAGACGCAGACAGTTAGAGTGTCTCGTTGTATGCGTCTCTCGCCTTCAAAACTTTAAACGCTCGTATCTCGGTTTGTAAGAGGCCTAGAAATGTGATTTTTGAACCAAAATGATCATTAAAAATCTGGAAAAATTATTTCAAACAAAAGTGAATATTTTTGAAAAAATCGAAATTTCAAAACTTTCCAAAAAGTACTATTCTTGTTGTTTGAAACATAAAAAACAAAATTCCATCCATTTTACGAAAAGAATGAGCTTCTAGCTAAATATTGAGCTGAGATACAGTCATTTGAATTTTGGGAGAGACGCAGACACTTAGAGTGTCTCGTTGTCTGCATCTCTAGCCTCCCAAACTTTGAAGAGTTGTATCTCCGCTTGTAGGACGCCTACAGATGTGATTTTTGAACCGATCTCATCCTTATGAAGCTAGAAAAGTGTTTATTCAAAAAGAATTTTGAAAAACACTTTTTTGAATTTGAAAAATTGAATTTTCCGAAAATCCCGAAGTCCGCAATTTTTGCCAAGATTTACAAAAACTTAAATTGTCTACATTTTACAAAAAGAATGAACTTTCTAGCTCAACTTTAAACGAGATACAGCCATTTGAAGTTTAGAAGAGACGCAGACAGTTAGAGTGTCGTCTGCGTCTCTCCAAACTTCAAACGGCTGTATCTCGACTCCTAGACGTGCTAGAAACTTGGTTCTTTTTGCAAAATGTAGCGAAAAATCTAGGAAATGTGTTCCAATGCAAAATTCCATTATAAAAATTTCAGAAAAATGCCAAGACAACCCGTGCGAAAACGGAGGTCGTTGTAGCGTTCAAAAAGGCAAAATTCGGTGTCAATGTGGTGCCGGCTACACAGGCCAAAATTGTACCGAAATCGATAAATGTATAGAAAATGAGTGTGAGAATAATTCGACATGTTTTAATGATAAGAGATCACCAGTCGGCTACTCATGCAAGTGTCAAAATGGAACAGTTGGGAAACTGTGTGAAAGTAGGTGGCCTAGAAAATTCCCATGGCCTAACTTTTTCAATTCCAGTTCAATGTCCATTGGATCAGTGTGAAAATGGCGGGAAATGCTATTTGAATACTTTTGGAAAAATTGGATGCAAGTGCTTGCCAGGAACCACTGGAAGACGATGTGAAAGGGGTAACAGACTACAAACTACAAACTACAAACTACAATTTTCATTTCCAGAAATCAATGAATGCGGCTGGAACAAGTGTCGAAATGGTGCCAAATGTGTGGACCTTTTTAATGATTACCGTTGTGATTGTGCCGATGGATGGATGGGTCGGAATTGTGAACGTAAGTGGATAGAGGCCTAGAAAACCAAATTTCGGGTTTCCAGGCCACCATTACTTTCAAAATTTTTGGTGGATCAAGCCAAGTCTATTACACTTTTCAAATTCTAAAAATAATAATTATGAAGCGAGTTATGAGCATTTATATCTGGTGGCCTAGAATTTTCCAAAACTAGGCCATTAGACTCAAATGCTTATAACTCGCTTTAAAATTGACGTTTTTGAGTTTTGAAAACACCAATCGTCTTGTCATGTTTTTTCTAACATTTTCAATATATTAATGGCCTAACTTTTCTAAATTTTCTTTCCTAGCCTATGGTTTATTGGTGGCCTAGAAAACCAAATTTTGGGGTTCTAGGCCAACATTACATTCAAAATTTTTGGTGGATCAAGCCAAGTCTATTACACTTTCCAAATTCTAAAAATATCAATTTTTAAGCGAGTTATGAGCTTTTGCATCTGGTGGCCTAGAAAACCCAAAACTAGGCCACTAGGCTCAAATGCTTCTAACTCGCTTTAAAATTAACGTTTTTGAGTTTGGAAAACACCAATCACTTTTTATTTTTTTTCTAAATCTTTCGAATATACTCATGGCCTAGTTTTCCAACATTTGGGTTTCTAGGCCATGGCTTACTGGTGGCCTAGAAAAACTAATTTTGGATTTTTTGGCCATTACGTACAAAATGTTTGGTGAACCAAGCCAAGTTCATAACACTTTTCAAATCCTAAAAATATCAATTTTGAAGCGAGTTATGAGCTTTTGCATCTGGTGGCCTAGAATTTTTGAAAACTAGGCCACTGAACTCAAATGCTCATAATTCGCTTTAAAATTGGTGTTTTTAAGTTTTGAAAACATCAATCGTCTTGAATTTGTTTTTTTTTAATTTTGATTATAATCATGACCAAGTTTTCCAAATTTTGGATTTCTAGGCCACCACTCTCAAAAAACTCTTCCAGGTCCGTGCCAAGACATTTACGGCTCCTGTCGAGTATGGAAACGCGAGGGACAATGTGACCAAATGAAAAATGCTACGGATTTCTTTGATATCAATTGTGCAGCGTCTTGTGGGATTTGCAATAAGATTGATAATACGACAGGTAATATTAAGCCACGCCCACTAAGCTCCGCCCCCTTTTTTCAGATACTTCCTATCTCCCCCTACAACCGATTTTGATGCCATTTGCATTTTTATTAGGAGAATGGAAGTCCCAAATTAAAGGATGGAATAACCATACAACGGATTATCCTATCGATATGGAAGGAATGGTGTACAATGAGACAATTACGTTCTCGGTGACACCATCGCTCAGCTTTGGGACACCTTATTTGAATTATACGTAAGTTTGCAATAAAATAAGAATTTTCCAGAAAGAACCAAGTTTCTAGGACATCTAGGAGCTGGGATACAGATATTTGAAATTCAGAGCTAGAGACGCAGAGTGTCTCGTTGTCTGCGTCTCTCGCTAAGCTTCAATTAGCTGTATCTCAGCTTCTAGATGGCCTAGAAAAGTGGTTTTTGGACCAAAAGGTTTTCTTTAATTTTAGCTTCTTCAGAATTGAAGAACAACTATTTTGGAAAATAAAATTCGAAAATTCCGCATATTCGAAAAATCGAACTCTTTGAAATTTATGAAATTAACATAGAAAATTAAATTCCCTCTTTTCTGTCCAAATTCTAACCTTCTAGGTCTTCTAGGAGCCGAGATACAGCCATTTCAAACTTTGAAGGTGAGAGACGTAGACAACGAGACACTCTGACTGTCTACGTCTCTCCTAAACTTCAAATGACTATATCTCTGCTTCTAGAAGGCCTAGAAAAGTGAATTTTGTGCCAAAATGCTTCTTTTAAGTTTGACTTTTTTATGAAATTAAAAATCGGAACTAATAAGAAAATGTCAAATTTTTAAATAATAATGAAAGTTTAGAATTTTTGAAAATTTAAAAATTCATATAGAAAATAAAATTTCCTCCAATTTTGCTCTAGTTTCAACTTTCTAAGCCTTCTACGAGTCGAGATATAGCCGTTTAAAGTTTTGAACACAAGAGACGCAGACAACGAGACACACTAACTGTCTGCGTCTCACCTAAACTTGAAATGGCTGTATCTCTGCTCAGAAAAGTGCTAGAACAATGAAAACTAGATAGAAATGCGTCAAATTTGGGGTGTAATGCCTTTGTATTTCAAAAATTCTAAAAATTCAAACTTTGACGGTGAGAGACGCAGACAAGGAGACACTCTGACTGTCTGCGTCTCTTCTAGAACTGAAATAGATGTATCTCGGCTTCTAGAAGGCCTAGAAATGCCGATTTTCTTGTGAATTTTGTGGTTTTTGATGGTTAATTTGAAATAATGTAAAAAAAAAGTTGTTTGATAGTTCAGAAAATTTTTTAAATTGAAATTTCTGTAGCAAAATCTATTTCGAATAGCTTCAGAGCGTATTTTCCACATTTCTAGATGTTATTTACTGAAGGAACCCCCATAATCTAGCTCTTCTGAAACCCAAGCTACAGCCATTTGAAATTTTGCAGAGATGCAGACAACGAGACACGCTGCGTCTCTAGCTCTAAACTTCAAATGAATGTATCTCGGCTTCTAGAAGGTCTAGAAACATGATTCTCCCACTAAAAGCATTCTTCTAATTTCTATTTTGTTCTGAAAATCTCAAAATTCCAAAAATTCCAGAGCCACAATGACAAATCAAGATGATCCGAGCAATATCCATCAATACAACGGATTCCTAACTATCCAACAATACAAAGAAAACGAAGAATCGCCAGACAAGGGTGCTCTCACCACTGTGAGCAATACCGGAATCATAATGATCGAGGAAGGCGAGATTTTGGACGAAAAATCGTCCACCGAGGGTGCTCCAACACTGATGCTCACTCCCACCTATGAATTTTTCAAATTCCCTGTCAATAATTCTGGCGGCAATTCGAATTTGAAAAATCCAGAGAGATCGAAGCGATGGTTCACACTGAAGAACAAACGATTAATGCAGTATATGGTCCGAGAATTCAAGGGGAGGACCCATAAATTCACAAAGATTTATAAAAAGACGCAGGAATTCAAATATTTGTGAAAATTCTGATTACTGTGCTCCAAGTGTTTCTAGTCATCATGTAGTGTGCAATAATAAGACCATATAATAAATTTGTATTTTTTTATTAGTTGTTTTCTCTGAAACTTTAGAATTGTAAAAATCCAAAAGTTAATGCTCAAAAATCTTCATTCAAAAACCAAAATCCAGGCGGCTCAAAGACCAACACACTCTCCAAAAACGCAAATTTAGAATGTTCCATATTGACTGTCTCTCGAACATCCTCTGAGCATTCTGGATCACAGTGTTGAGGATCATCAGGGAATCGACGGTGAGCAATTGTATAGATGCACCGATAGTCGACACAGGAAGAGCCAGATGGACATTCCAATTGGCTGAAGCAGTAGTTGGAGCCGTTGATGGTGGAGATGGTGAGAAGAAGGAGGAAGCTGGGTGTATTGGAAGAAGTTCACTATTGAGGTTCCGGTTTTAAGGCTAGAGGGCTAGCTTCTAAGATTAGCGGCCGAGCTACGCGGTCCACAGTACTGACCCATGTAAAGTAGCATAGTACTAAAAACATCCCGTCCAAAAAGGAACCGGTGGAAAATTATCCCTCTTAAAAGACCTCGCCAAAAATACAAGATAGGGAAGGACCCAAACTAAGAGGACCTTGCCTAAAAGGTCCCGGACAAGCATACTACCCAGAGCTATAATGAACCGACATAAATAAGTCTGTTCCATAGGGATCCCTGCCCACCAGTAGTTCAAAATAATCCTGAAAAAAGATCAGACCTAAAAGGATCCGGTTGGAAGTACCATGTCGAAAAGAGCTAACCTTAAAGGTGGGGGGACAGGAGATTTTTTGTAGTTTTTTTGTAGCTAGAGTATGCATTCTACCGTCACGGTGTACAACGTTTAATGTCACTCTGCGTACAGATGTCGTCCTCGCCTTTATGTATGCAATCGGGCGTGCGCTTTCTCTTTGCCCGCGTGGCTCAGTCGGTAGCGGCGCCGCACCCTCAATCATCGCCCTCACAAGTTCAACTCCTCGAGGGGCATCTTTGAACGGAATTTCGAGAACATTATTTTTTTCATGTCCCCCCCCACCTTTAAATTCTGCTAGGTTTCTATTCAGTATCATTTGCTAAATGTCTAAAAATCATTTCATGACTAATGGTATTTGAAGGCTAGAGTCCTTAAAGGTGGGGGGACATGAAAAAAAAATGTTCTCGATATTCCGTCTAAATATGCCCCTCGAGGAGTTGAACTTGTGAGGACGAGGATTGGGGGTGCGGCGCCGCTACCGACTGAGCCACGCGGGCAAAGAGAGAGCGGCACCTCGATTGCATACATAAAGGCGAGGACGACAGATGTGCGCAGAGTGACATTAAGCGTTGTACACCGTCACGGTAGAATGCATACTCTGGCCCCAAAAATCCCCCGTAAAATCTCTTGTCCCCCCCCCCCCCCACCTTTAAAAAACATAGATCTGTGACTCTTTTTTTGGATTTCAAACTCTTCGTTTACCTAGAAAGTCAGCAGGTCAACGGCGCCAAAAACACTTACCAATAGGAACTTCATTCATTTCTCTTGACTCTATCCAAGAAGGGAATGGATGACCTGGGTTCCCGGTCCTCCTGCTTATATATAACTCTTTTTAATCGAATTATGAACACATCCAAGTAGGGGTATATGGGAATTTTCAGAAAAAGGTACACACCACCCACTCTTGAGAAAGATAGGAAATTTCAGAAAAAATGCGCATTTTTTTTTTGAGAGTTCCCATCCTCAAACGAGGGTGCGCCTGAAAAATGCCTGAAAAAGTTTCTCAAGAGTGGGTGGTATGTAGATTTTTTCTGAAATGTCTCATTTCCCTAAAAGTGGTCTTAATTCAATTAACACAAGTTACGTATAAGCAGCTGGGCTGGCTACCCAGGTTATCCATTCCCTTCTTGGATAAAGTCAAGAGAAATGAAGTTCCTATTGGTGAGTGTTTTTTTTGAGGATTCTAGGAGTCCTTTTTGACGGGGGGTTCCTCTAGATCGGGTCCTTTTCGACTATGGTATTCTGTCTTCCTCATCATTTTTGACCACTGTTTTCTGTTGGACATGGATCCTCCTTGAACATACCCAATCATGTCGGGTCCATTTTGGCCTTGTCTTTTTTTTCCCGAATTTTTAGGCAGAGTTCTTTTAGTTCGGGGTCCTTTTAGTACTTTTTTACTAGGTCACACATAAGAAACGTGTAGCTTATTTTTCATGGTCCAGGATAAATAGCTCAGGCTGCTCGGCCGCTAGCTCATTAACCTTGACACCGGAACCTTTGTAGTTAGCGTCTTCCTATACCACCCTCCTCCACTACCTGGAATCCCAAAGATTCTAATTTTTCAGTGATTCCTCTTCCTCCTCACCATCTCTCCCATCAACTGCTTCGAGTCCATCGACTGCTTCATCGACTCGGATTGTCCATTCTCTGGTCATTCATGTGTCGAAGGGCAGTGCCTTGTGGTTCGTCGTCCAATTGCTCATCTCGATGATCCTCAACACTGTGATCCAGAATGTCCACCTCATCTCGCATGCCTCTGGGGACAATGTGTGGATGGTCGGAGAAAATTCCAAGGGCTCAGAGGATGTTCGAGGGACAGCCAATGTGGAACATTCCAAATTTGCGTTTTTGGAGAGTGTGTTGGTCTTTGAACATGTCCATTTTGGGATTTTTGAATGAAGATTATTGAGCATTAGCTTTTGGATTTATTCTGAGAATTTTTCAAATCTAGACTCTCATAGAGCTACACGGCCACTACTTCCGAAAAAGCTAGAAGGTCACCAATACGAAACTTCTTTATTCAAAAAAAAAAATCAAGCAAATATCCAAAAATCATTTCCCTGGAGCCAACCAAATGCATCGGCCATTTACACAGGCATATCTGGCACTTGGACATCCTATTGCCGATGTACATGAGATTCCTTGAGACGTACAGTACGCCACCAGAAGGATCAGAAGGATCTGAAACAGTACTTTTTCGAACAATTCTGATTTTTGAAACAAAATAAGTCTTACCAAGAAAAATTGGAATTTCATAGTTTCCAGTATTTGTCTGGAAATTTTCAGATCTATTATATAGGGCGGCGAAAATGTCAACATGTTTTTTCTTTTCAAAATTTGAATGAATTTTGCATAATCCCCAAAATTCGCTAGAAACAAAAAACACAATTCCCATAAAAAACCAGATGAAAGGAACTGAAATTTGATATTCCATTGATCAATGTTGCATGGATTCTTTTTCTGGAATTCGAAAATATGAAATTTTAGATTTTTATACTTTCAGATATTAGAAATCGAAAAAGGGACATTTCACAAAAAGTTTGAAATTTCTAGCGCAATTTTCATCAAAGTTATAGCCATTTGAAGTTTTAGAGAGACGCAGACGGCGAGACAGCATGCGTCTCTGACTCTAACTGTCTGCGTCTCTCCTAAACTTCAAATGGCTGTATCTCGGCTTCTAGATGAGCTAGAAAGATGAAAACTAGACAGAAATGTGTAAAAATGAGCACATTTTGTGAAAAATAGATTTTTCTAAGAATTTGGACATCTTTTGATTTTTTCATATTCTTGAAGTTTTTTCAAAAAGGCGTACCATTTGATAATTAAAATTTCAGAAATTTCAGTAAAATAATTAACCTTCTAGCATTTCTAGAACCCGAGATACAGCCTTTTGCCGCCAGAAAGACGCAGACAGTTAGAATGTCTCGTTGTCTGCGTCTCTCACCGTCAAAATTTTGAAACCATGTATCTCAGCTTCTAGATGAGCTAGAAATGTGTTTTTTAGACCAAAATGTTTATTTTAATTTATATATGTTGTGTCTCCTGGTGGCGGCATTGTGTGAACCACCAGCCAGACAGTATGTGAGTAGTAGATGAATAAGGACTTTATTCAGTGAATAGGGGACAACAGAATACTTTGGGGCAGGAGAGAGAGAGTATCAGAATGATCAGCCCCTTTATCTAGAAGTTCTGACCAAGGGAACAAATAGTTACGCGCGTGATGACAATTAGCACAAACAGTGGTTATTGCGCGCGCCTACTTTGGGTAGATCAAACTAAGGCGGATATTAAACTTATAAAACTAATGAAGGTTTGCATAGTCTGCAACACCTCCCCTTTTAACTATGATGAACATACAAAGAATGAACTAGACTAAAAGAGATCCTAGAAATACTAACAATTCTTAAACTAAAGTTTGGGGCATTCCTAGATTAATGATACGATGTCTTATTCGGCTTCATGACGAACTTTGGTGGTGGTTTGACGGTACGTGTAGATTTCCGGATGGGTTTTGGAGATGGTGCTGTGGGACTTCCAGGAAATATTGGCGTTGGAGTCGGTGGTGAACGGTCGGGCAAGGTTGTTGACAACGGTGTCCACTCGATAGCGTCCATTGTGTCCATAGTGTCGAGTGGAACATCGAACGAAGTTGGAGTGTCACGACGGCGCAGTTGATTGGTGTGTCTAATCCAGAAGTTGTTGTTTTCCACAGTGACGCGGTACATTGTACGCCCAATCCGACGTTGAATAGTTCCTGGAATCCAAGTGGTAGTATTTATGCTACGGTAGTCTTTAACATAAACCTTATCTCCCACGTTGAAGTTGCGACAATGTGCACCATGCTGGTTGTTGAACTGCTTCTCCATCTCTGTGTCGTGCGAGTGGGGAAGTTGGTCGGTTGGGAGAAGTTGATCCAGGAATGTACGGATCTTCTGGCCAATGAAGTTCTCAGCGGGTGATGAGCCATTTGGACTGGCGGTACAAGGCGAAGAGCGATAGCTCTGAAGGAAAAGATACAAGGAAGCATCTGTATTTCCCTCCCCCTTTAACTTGCCTAATGCCCTTTTAAGGGTATCCACAAAACGTTCTGCCTGTCCATTTGATTGTGGATGGAATGGCGGGGACCGAGTGTGTTGGATTCCTCGGTCTTTGCAGAAGTCGTGGAATTGAGCAGATGTGAATTGTGTTCCATTATCGGTCACCAGTGTCTCCGGATCTCCGAACTGTGCAAACATCTTTCGCAAAATGTTGATGGTTGCCGCTGATGTAATGGATGTGGTTGGAACAATTTCTGGCCATTTTGAGAAGGAATCAACAACTACTAGATAATAGGTTCCTTCGACAGGTCCGGCGTAATCCACGTGTACACGTTGCCATGGCTTTGTGGAAATAGGCCAAGAGCATAAAGTGTTCTTGATGGGATTCTTCGACACTGCCGCACACTGATCACAGCTTCTGACGATGTTCTCAATGTCTTTGTCGATTGACGGCCAGTAAACAAGAGTTCGAGCCAACTGTTTCATTCTCACCATTCCAGTGTGAGCACGATGGAGCATTTTGAGCACACGGGCTCTGAGTGATACTGGGATGACGATTCGATCGTTGAACATCAGACAGTCAGATACGATGGATAGTTGATCTCGTCGGTTGTGAAAAAAAACGATTTGTGAGCTTTTATCAATATTATTTGGCCACGAACCTGAGGTTGTGTACTCGTACACTTCTGCCAAAAGTGTATCCTTTTTGGAATAGTCTTTGACCATTTCAGCTGTCACCGGCAATTGTTCACACGTGTTGACTAGATTTGTAATCACGTCCATTTCGACTTGGGCAATGACTCGATCTTCACATTCCTTCTGTTGGATTTGTTCGGAAATGAGTCTTGAGAGGGCATCAGCTTGTCCAAAGTCGTGAGTATTGACGTACTCGATGGTGAAGTCGTAATTGAGCAAGATTGTGGCCCAACGTTGGAGTCTATTTGCACTGTAAATAGGAATACCTTTTTTCTCTCCGTAGATCGAAAGGAGCGGCTTGTGGTCCGTTTTCAGTGTGAAATGTCGACCATGAATAAACTTGTGGAACTTCGTGACGGCCGTGATGAGTCCAAATGCTTCTTTTTCGATTTGACTGTAGTTGCGCTGTGGTGCAGTGAGAGCCTTATTGATGTGGTATATGGCTTTTTCATGACCCATTTGGAAAACGATGAGAGATCACTGCTCCGATCCCATATTGACAAGCGTCGGCAGCGACTATTATTGGCAGTTTCGGATCGTAGTGTGTGAGAAGAAGATCCGATTGGAGCATTTGTCTTATGTTGTCACACGATGATCGGCGATTCAGAAGTCCATTTGAATTCAGCATCTTTCTTAGTTAATGCATCCAGTGGTGGACGGAATTTGAATAATTCCTTAATGAAGGTGCCGTAGAACTGTATGAGTCCTAGAAATGAGCGGACTTGACTGTCGTTTTTCGGTTCAGGCATCTGCTGAATCGCAGTCACCTTTTCGGGATCCGGTCGTCTGCCATCTTTGTCGATGCAGAATCCGAGGAATGTGATTCTCGGCATTAGGAATGTGCATTTTTCCAGTTTGACGCGGAATCCATAGTTGTAGATTCGCTTGAACACTGATTTCAGTCGTGAATTGTGCTGTTCGATTGTCGACCCGGTTATGATGATGTCATCAAGGTAGGCCGCGGGTCCGTCCAGTCCAGTGATCATTGCATCCATGACTTGTTGAAAACATCCTGGAGCAGATTTGACCCCGAATGGCTGTCGATTGTAGTTGAACAAGCCTCGACGTGTATTGATACAGAGCATCTGTTTGGCTTGTTCGTCGATTTCAATCTGTAAATAGGTTTCGGCCAAATCTATTTGAGAAAAATACTTCCCACCGTTTAAAGTAGCGAATATGTCGTCTGCAGTTGGCAAGGGATGATGATGCTGTTGGATTGAATCGTTGAGGACGGTAGAGAAATATGAGCGCATCCGAATCGATTCATTATTATTTTTGACAAGAACTATCGGCGCTGCCCATTCCGAATGATCCACTGGAGAGATAACACTTGGATGCTGTAGACGTTCCAACTCA